GAAATGGAGTATTATCCAGCCATAAAAGAAGGAAATCCTGCCCTGGGCATCAAAAAAGAGCCTGAGCACATGATATCAAGTAAAATAAGTCAGGTATGGAAGAGTTGATATCACTTGGACAATGGCACAGGGAAATAGCAACTGCAGGGAATATGGGACATGGCAGGGTGCTAGTCAGCTGGTACAAAATTCAGTCAGTTGGAGGGACGGAGCCTGTACAGGAGGCACACAACACTGTGTTCTATACTCACTCAAACTGCTGAGGGGATGGCTCTTATGCTGAGTGCTAGCACAAGATGGAGGAGGGAGGGGGAGGGAAGGGAGAGGAGGAGGAGGAGGAGGAGGCTACCGCAGTGGCGAAAACAGCAATTGCAGGTGATGCTAGATTGGGCACAAACTTTCATGACGGTTTTGTAGGTGTGCGCTTATCTCCAAATCTATCCAGTTATGTTAGATGGGACAACTTTTTGTAGCTCAATAAAATCAACACAGCACACACAGGCACACCCAGAAACAAGTCTCCTCTTCCTAGAACATAGAAGAAGCATACAGTAGCCCAGAAGGGGCATCCATACCTGTGTTTTGTGGGCCCCTGTGAGGACCTCAAGGTAGGGCCTAAGAATTGTTCAGCATGACTGGTGACACATGAGCTAGACATTAAAACAGCTACACTGTGGTGCTACATTGTGGCAATGAAATTCTTTTATGTGTCTTGTGTTCTGTTTGGTTTGTTTTCCCTCTAGAAAATCACTGTCAGCTTGTACACCCATTCCCAGCAGGGACTCGCAACAATGCCACTCTACAATAATCCATGAAATCATCCCGCCTAAGCAGCAACAACAAAAAGAAGCTATTCTACATAACGGAAGCCACCGTTATGACATCATCTAGGGGTGCAGGAACAGGTTCATCTTCTGTACTGATTAAAAAATTAAAAGGTAGGACAGTGACATTACAAGAAATCTTGGGAGTCCCAGCAAATCAGGGTCCTTTTGTGGGGATCTTAGCCTCATCAATAAAACAACTGAAGAACAGATACAAACAGAAGCTCAGGGACAGAGAATGGGTGGAAATGGAAGCTTCAGGACAATTTTTCAGAGCTGAGGGAAAAGGGCAGGGCAGGCAAGCTGTAAACCTCACATCTGCCAGGAGGAGGAGAATGGAGAAATGAGGTCAGCCACCTGTGGGCAGTAAGCTTCAGAGAAGGAGCATAGAGGGCTGCAGAGATGGTCTAGTGGCTAAGAGCACTGTTGCTCTTGCGTAGGCCCTGGGTTAAGGAAGTCTCCAGCACCCGCACAGTGGCCCGCAAACTTCTCTAACTCCAGTTCCATGGGAACTAACACCTTCGGGCCTCCAAGGCTGCCAGGCACACACGTAGACATACAAAGACACTCATACACATAAGTTTTTTAGAAAAAGAGTAAGGAAGCCCAACACATCACTAAAAAGTTTAAAGCAGTATCTAGGCCCTGGCAAGCATCCAAAGGAATGGTTATGGCTTTCTGGATTAAGACTTAGGGAGACAAACCCAGCTAGTCCCCATGATGGCTGGTACTGCCATCTTAGGGACTGCACTAAGGGGCAGGAGTTCTAGGACGACAAAGTACATTATCTTAAAGTGAACCCAGATTCCTAAGGGTGGTCCCCCTAGCCCGATCACTTGACCTTCCACCTAGGCTAACCCTTGAGTGAGTCAACAAGGGGCTGTCTCCATCTGGAGGTAGGTTCCAGTCCTTACCACAGCCGGTCTCATCCCTTTCAGGACCTGACATGAGGGCAGTCATTTCTAAAATGACTGTCCTCTTTGCAAACACTGTTGAGGCACTTGTGGGAGAAGTGTTATTTGGTAAAGGTATGTGAAAGTGTCCGCACACATACACACACACACACACAGGGGCCAGAGAACTTTGTGTTGTTCCTTGTGAGATGCCTTCTTCTTCCTATGCATTTGAGTGCATGTGGAGTGTCAACCATCAACCTCGAGACAAGGTCTCTCCTTGGCCTGGAGCTCGCTGGTTAGGCTAGGCTGGCCAGTCAGTGAGCACCAGGAACCTTTCTGCTTCTGCCTGTGCAACTCTGGGATTACAAGTACCTGCTATCACACCTGGCTTTTCGTGTATGCGTGGGGGATCTGAACTCAGGTCCCATGCTGACACAGGCTAGCCCTTTACTGGCAGCCATCTCTCCATCCTCTAGGTGGTGGTTTTTTATGAAGTAGTAGGAATTGATTATAAGGAAGACTTTGTAACACATTATACAACCTCCCCCAGCAGTCATCAATCGCCAAGGGCTCCTCAGCTAGGTGGGGATCTCAAGAGAGAGAAGAGAAGAAGGAGAGGAAGACAAGACAGAAACTACACCAGACTAACTTGGGGAAACAAGGAGAAAAATCCTAGCATCCCCAACAAGCCCTTCCTCAAACACTGAAGGGAGGATGAGATGTGACCCACCTTCAGACAGCCTGAAAGGAGGATGTGGGTAGATGTGGGTAAAGTAAGGGCTGACCTTGTCCCCTTAAGCAACCAAACTCCCAAAGGGCAGATTGATACTTCAGTCTATTGTATTTTTGATGTACTGAAAGAAATGTTTTCACCAGAAATAATTGGGCTCCTGTAGATCTTTTCCACACACACTTGTATGTGGGATGTGATTTGTTTTATAGCATCGACAATAAGGGGCTGGGAAAGTACTTGCATTGGAACCCCAATTCCAAATTCCCAGAAGCCATATAAAAAGCCGGTGTGGTTGTGGGCATCTATAACCAGCATGGGGGGCGAGGGTAGGAGGCAGGCACAGGAGGATCATTGGGTTTTGCTCGCTGCCAGACTAATTCCAGGTTCAGTAACAGACTCTGTAACTCCCTCAAGGAAGTAAGTGGGGAGTGGTGGAGCAGGAGACCAAGGGTTCTGACTCCTGTGAATGTGCACAGGGCACAAAGCCACACACACACACAAACACACACACACATTCACACACACACGTATACAAACATACTCACACATACAATATTTTTTAAATAAAGTTTCATATCCCACTTGCCTCCAGCCACACACAAAGTCAGCTCCCCTCCCTACTGGGAACAGCAGCAATAGAAACAGATGCAGACCTGTTGCCTGAAAGTGTCTCACCTCTGTGTTCCTTGGAAAGTGTCACAATTTCGAGTCCCTGGGCACCGTGTCACCACAGTCGGCTAGCAGCACTGGAGTCCTCTCTGCCTCTAGACTTACCTTTCAGAGAGGCCTGGCCCCTCCCCTCCCTTCCTTTCGCCTCAGTTCTCCAGACAGGATTCATTAAGGAGCCACCTGGCATTCTGGGCAAGCCACAAGGAGGGCACACCCCTTCTAAACAGCCCTCACCTAATCCCTTGTTAAAGAGAAAATAACAGTGTTCCCAGAGGCAGAAAGCAGGTGCCAAACCTTGGAGGATGTTGACTTGTTACTCTCAGGCTGGAGGGGCGTTTCTGGAAGAGTTGGGGTGCCTTGCGCCATCTATGTGGGATGCATTCTTTAGATGGATGTGAAGAACACCAGCAAGATGAGAACCTTAAAACTCCCTGGTGCTCACAGCAGCAGGAGAGGTAGAGGCACTTACAGATGGTCTGATCTGTCAGCGGTCTTCAGCTTGAGTGTGTCAGAAGTAGCCCAGGTCTTCAATCCCCTTTACAGTCCGGAGAGGTGGAGAGGCTTGTATGTACTTGGCAGGCGGAATAACTCTATTTCTTGTCCAGTGATGCACATGATGAGGTGTCATAGCTAGCATTCAAATGCAAACATCAATTATCATCCTCTGATTCAACCATCACAAGTGAATAGTTTAAAAGACAGGCCCGCTGAGCGCAGTGGCATACATGATTCCAGTACTCTGGGAGGCAGATGCAGGTGGATCTCTGTGGGTTTAAGTCTAGCCTGGTCTACAAAGTGAGTCCAGGACAGCCAAGACTACACAGAGAAACCCTGTCAAGAAAGAAAGAAAAAAGACCTCAAATTCCTGGCCAGGTTGAGAACCAGACAAGAAGGGGCATGGCCACTTCCTTTTAGGTCTGGGCATCGCTTCAACTCCAGTCAATCTTGACATAGCAAGCAGGGTCTAAAAAATAAGAGTCCCAAGACAGGGAGACATCGAGTGGATAAAGTGCTCATAATGCAAGCAGGAGGACCTGAGTTCAAATCCTCAGAAGCTATGTAAAAGCGAGACACAGTGATATGAGTCTGTAATCCCACTACTCCTATAGCAAGATGGGAGTCAGGGATAGGCGCATCCCTGCAAGCTCGCCAGTCAGCTAACCTGGTGAACACAATGGCATGGAAAGTTGTCCTCCATGTGTCATGGCACACAAGTGCCTGCACTCACACACGCAAATACACATAAGCACACTCCCATCTAAAAGGTAACTTTTAATATGATCAGCTCTTTAGGTAGAAAGGTCTTGGTCAACTGTGAAGTATTACAAGAATGTGGCTTACTCTTGGTCCTACCCCTGTAGTTATGAGAGTCAGCAGATCACCTGGGTTCAGGTCATTCAGACAACAGTCTACCAGGTCCTAAGAAACTGGTTCTGGGCTCTCAGACACAGAGGGTAAGGAACCCAGCTATAAGGCAGTCTCCTTCCTTGTGTACTGTTTCCAGAACCCGGCTAAGTGCCTGCATCTCCTTCTCCAGTTACTCCAGCACAGTGTGTGGTGACATTTAAGCCCCAAGAATGATGTCATGCTGTCACATTTCATTTCTCAGGACTTAGTGATGCAGAGAGCAGGGGCTGGGCCTCCCTCTCCACAGAGCACATTAGCTGTGTTTCCTCGTCTGGGCTGACAATGTTTGGGAGAGTCCCTAAGCTTATAATGATAAGCCCCAGACAAGGCAGAAATGCAGGAAAAACATAAACTCGATCCTTCCCCCGGATTACGCTGTGTAACTTCATTGTCCAGTGTTGGTCTCTAACTGCCGATACTAAATGTTATGGATTAATTTTGAATAACGACAACTTAAAGAAGCAGTGAATAAAGCAGACATTTAATTTTGTGATTATAACACTTGAAATGCGGCAGGAGATCCATGTGTGGAGGCTCCCTCCTGTGACCTCAGCAACTGGGATATAGGGGCAGGAGGAACTGGAGGTCAAGGCCATCCTTGGCTACAATGTTGTTTCCAGGACAGTTAGAGCTCAAATGAGACCTTGTTTCAAAACAGATATAAAGTAAAATTAAAAATAAACTATTGCAGGAGATAGTGGGCTAGTGTCCCCTCCCCCAACCCCACCTCCATCTCCCAGTTATTTTAGTATTTAATTACAAAGACTACACAGGAAGTCCAAATGTTTCACCAGAGTAGCCCCTCAGATAGGTGGCTAAATCCTGTCACATGCCACGCCTTGCACAGCCTCATACTTCAGGTAGCAAAGAAGGGCTGTAGGCATGGGACAGCCGGCCTGGGCTGACATCGGAGATAAGAGTGACCCTCTTCAGCTGGCACTGGCACCGGCGGCGATGCAGACAGGTCTACTCTTCAGTCGCCCCTTCCAGGATGTGCTTAAAGGAGAAGGGGGAGAACTTGGAGCCTGCCCCCTCGTAGAACTTGTTCTGAAATTCCACCCTGTGAAGATGGGGGAAAGCAAAAGAAGTAGATTGAAATGTCAGAGGCTGCCAGGTAGAGCAAGGCGCAGAGCACCATGGGAATCAGATGACTTTGTAAGCCTCCCTCTAACCTCCCTCCTCTCTTCCTCAGGCTTCCCAGGCCACAGCACACACCTCCCCCACATCATGAACTTCTGCAGTTCCTTCCTGTCAGTCTCCTCCGTGCACTATCTGATAATCATAGTACATGTGGCAACAGCTCTTCCTTCACGCAGTTTCGAGCTGCTTCCAATCTCCACCCTGACTACCAGTTGTGGGGTCCCCGCTAGCACAGAGTGAACAGAAGCTCAGCCTGTTTCTCTCTCACACATATACTATATTCCACTGCAGATTCCCCTCCATCCTCTCCTCCCACGCCTCCCCCCATCCACTTCTCCATTTCCCTTCAGAAAAGGGCAGGCCTCCCAGGAATATCAACCAAACGTGGCATATCAAGTTGCAATAAGACTAGCCGGTATTTTTTTTAAATTTACTTCATAATCAATGTCACCCATGAGCATTTCTGTTTTGTGATGTTAGAGTGGCAAATACCTCATGCAGTGGGGGGAAATGTTAGCATGGAGACAGGAGATGCTCCAATTTTCTCCGCTCAGTATGTAAACATAAAAAGGGCTGGAGAGATGGCTCAGCATTTAAAAGAACTGGCTGCTCTTCCGGAGCGCCTGGGTTTGATTCCCAGCACCCACATGGCAGCTCACAAGTTTATATGACTCCAGTCCCAACGTATCTGATGCAGTAGTCTGGCTTCCACAGATACTGCACATGCAGGCAAAACACTCATGAACATAAAATGAAAAAGAAATGAAGTTTCCTAACAATAGCAGCCCCAGTGTGTGCTGGGAATGGTCAGGGTGGCTCTAACAACACAGCACCCTCAATCTAGTGTCACCAGCAGTCTCTGGGTTTATCTTGAATGTCAAAGGCTTCCAGGGCTACCCTCTGTTTCCTCTGAAGAGTTCAGTGGCTTGTTCTATTGCTGCAGCTCCTGCCCTCGGCAAACACAACAGCCAAGCACCCCCAGCCACATGCTTTCTACAACCCTGTTTCAGATCTGTCAGCTGACTTATTTTGAAGCCAGAGGTAATAACAAAAAAAACACTGAGAGCGAATGAAAGCTACATTCCAGGGCAGCCAGCACAGCTGCATACTTGTGAACATATGTTACACCATGCATTCTACAGAAACAGATGGCTAAACTGAGGTTCCAAAAATGTAGCCACATTGTGGCTCTGGTCAGGCAGCCAGCCCTGCTGCCGGCCCTTCCCCAACAGCCCAGAGCTCCCAGAGGACAAGCTCACCAGTGCAGCCGGAGTGCATGCAGAAAGGCTGAGAGCCCCTCCATGACGAGCAGGATGGCGACTGTGAGGACGGCGAAGAAGGCGAAAATGATGAAGACCCCAATGAGCCCTCCCCAGCCTCGAAGGCGAAGGCCGACACTCATCACCATGGTCCAGAGCACCTCAGACAGCTCTGTGGGAGCAAGTGGGACATCCTCAGCCACCAGGGGTGTCTGCTCAATACACATCACCCTCATCACCTCAGATCCGAAGGTACCTCTGAGGTCATACAGGAGCTCATCTGCCACAGCTTTGATCACAGTGGCTGGGCTTCCAACAAGAGCAACTAGGTAAATAGTCAGTGGCACACTGATTGCCAAGGAAAATAAGCCAATTAGAGCTATGGGCAGTAAAAGGAACAAATCTGAAGAACAAGATAGGCACAAAAAAGCTAAACCCAAAAGAATGCATAAAGCATAGTTTGTTTGTAGCCCTCTCTATGTTCATATGTTGAGATCTGAAGCTTCAATGTCACAGTATATGGAGACAAGGACTTGGGGGGGGAGGTAATTAGAAATATGAGAGTGGCCCCTTTGCTACGGGATTAGGGAATTTAAGGGCTTATTCACTCACACATCTCAGTTCTCACTCCCCCACACCTCTGTGTGAGGATGTTTGAAAGCAGGCTTTCACCTGAGCCCAACCACACTGGCAGCTTCCAGTCTCAAACTCCCAGCCTCCAGACCATTAAGAAAATCAGGTTTGGCTGAAGCCACCCAGCCATTTTGTCATGCCAGGCCCACGCGAAGATTCTTGTCACATAAATTCAGAAGCGTGGAAACTAGTAAATTGCTAAAGGACTAGAAAGACAAAAGACTAGAAAGGAAACACCTATTAAACAGTCATTTTCTGGTAAACATACTACAAATGACCCGGAGAATGCACTCTCACTTATGAGTACAGTAAGCCTGTTCTGTGGGTGGTACGATCACCAGCCCCTGGCCCCCCACTCCCAGGGTGTACACTCACCTGCATGAGCCAAGCTGAGGGCCCAGAGCCGAAGGTACGAGGCTGTGTTGGAGATGCAGCCCAGGCAATACTCAATGGTGTGGATGGCTTGGTGGACAAAGATGTCTCCAAAGTTAAACTGTGACAGAACATTTGCTGTCTTACTTCATTAAGTTCTTTCTCTCCCTTCTCTCTTCCTTTTATAATGAGAAGGTTAAAATCTAATTTTCTTTTTTATTACAGTAATAACTACATATTTACAGGGTACAATATATTTCAATGCATGTAATAAATACGTATCATATCAGGGTAATTGGGGGCTTTAAGCTCCTGTCTTTCAGTTAGTTATAAACTATATCATAGATTGCCATCAGCCAGAGTCACCCTGGGGCAGGATGGAAAGGGCAGTTATGGGGCATGGAAGGGAAAGGAGTCCCTCACCCAGCGAGAGTCAAGAATTCTACCAATATTTGCTTATCAGCTGCAAACCTACAATTTTCCAGAAATCTCACCAGAATACCCATCTACAGCAAACAGCATGCTAAACCCTTTGTACAATCCTCGTGGCTTATTAGTTATAGAATCCTCCAACACAGCTTTGGAGCTACTCTGCAACCTCACCAGAAAGGCAGGATTGGAGTAAAAGGTGCCAAGAACCCTTTACAATACAACCTGTGCGCCACCAAAATTGTATGTACGGCCAGGGCAAACAGCTGTTAATTGTGACTCTCCCTCGAAACACCCACACTCGCACTTGGAAATGGCTTATTCTCTCCCTAAGGGTCTGCTTCTCTTAGCTCCTGTGCTTAAACTCCATGTTAAAAATGTCTCTCCTTTGAGAAGCCCATTGATAATCTTGAGTATGCTTTAATCTTCCCCTGAGCCCTCTCTTTCTGTTTTCATAAACTGCAACTAGACTTCATAGTGGCTCATTCTGGAATTCTTTTCTGTGTCAAAGTCAAGGACGGGTCTCCTCAGGCTGCCGTAACAGGGTAACAGAGTAGAACGGCATCTCATCAGGGTCCTTGCTCCCGCTGGCTGGCAACCCCGTAACTGGGGAGCACTAGATCTTAGCCTTGCTCCCTGTGATCCAGTTCCCATTATCCGTCTTCCCTCTGTGCTCTCTATTATAGGAAAAGGATCATACCTGATACACAGGTGATTGAGGGATGGGTTTTAGGAAACTTCTAGCCTAACTTGGGGAGGTACACATTAATTTACTTGAGGAAACAGGAGGAGTATATGACACCATTTGCTAGCAACAACTGAAAGGAGCTGTAAGAGCTGGGCTGAGGAGAGGAGGTGGATTTATGCTGAGGCATGAAGCATGGGTAAAGATGGGGAAATGTAGTTTCCAAAAGGAAACTGACCTTGGAAGAAAAATCCAGGTGGTTTGCACTATTGCTGAGTCCAATGTCAGAAGGAAAATGAATCTCTCAGAAATCAGGGCTTGTTTAGGTGAGAAACAGCACACAGAGTGTGGGTGGTGATGAGGAAGGTGAGATGAGGAAGAGGCAAAAGAGCAGCTAGAAGTCAACAATAAGCCAGAAGGAATGGCTGAGTAGAAGGAGACAGAAAGAATGGAAACATGGCTAAGGATTAGTCTGGAAGCACAATGGATCAGACAGCTCCCCAGGGGGTAAGACCAGCAATGCAGGAAGGAGGAGAAGAAGGAGGAGACACCTTACTGATCGTTACTTTCTGCCGACTCGGGAGCAACAAGCGTGAGCATCCCTCAGGAAACTCACACCTTAGTAGAGAGAATATGCAAAAAGGCAGCTGCCACACCACAGCATGGAGACCAGATGATGCACAGAGGACTGAGGGATTATAAGGAAGGCCTCCTACCCAGCCGGCATCAGGGTCATACAGGACTCTGAGGTGCTTGAACCTAAGTAGCTGTCAAGGATGGCACTGACAACTGCAGAATTAGAGGAGAGGGCAGCTGGCTCACAGAGGCTAAGCTTGGGGTGACAGTGAGCTACACAAGAAGAAGCATCTGACAGGGAGTTCTTGACATGGGACTAGGGCTTAGAAGAAAAGACCAAACTAGAAATGGATCCCTAGGATCTTGTAGATCTACAGGTGAGATCACAGAAGCAGAAATAGAGGTCAGTAGATCTCTCTATGCTGAGAGGTCACAGAAAGAGGAGCTTCCAGTTTTGGTTTCCCATTCTCTCTATTCAAATATGAGAAACACTGAAACAAAGTGAAGAGGCTGGAGAAGTCATAGCTGCAGTCAGGGAGGCCTGGATGGAGACCATCTGAGAAGGAGCGGGGCTGTGGTCAAGCACTTTGGGGATATGGAAAAAAGACAAAAACTAATGCCTCTCAATTCAGAGAGGGGAACCAGTTAAGAGGTAAAGCAGGCTGTGTAGGGAGAGTGAATGGGCAGAATCAAGGAGTACGAAGAGTTCGTCTTACCCCATACAGGTCTGGCTTTTTCCTGGATTCCAGGAAGTAATGTCTGGATCCTCAGCCTTCCCCAGGGAGTATGTGTGTTACTCACAGTGGATCCCTGAGGATGTGCACACACCAGAAAGTCCACCTATGTGGTCAGAGAGCTGGGATGGTTCTCCAAGGCCAGAAGGCAACTGGAGGTCACACCTCATCAATCATGTTGATGACAATGCAACCCCAGGAAAACCTGGGGCACTGGGCTTCCTGGGCTAGCCGTATCCAGTATGTATACTGTCCCACATCAATACTGGGGCAGTAATGTGACCTTACGGGCACAAAAAAGCTGCATAATCGGGACCCTCCCATTCATAATTGTGCTCCATGGGCTTCTGCCTTTGGCAGGTTCTGACTTGCATCCTCTTGCTAGTTCAAAAAAAATCACTATTGAATAGCATGCTCTATGAGTTGTTCTCCAGATGACCGAATCTGAATGCATTCAAAGAGTTCAGCCACTTCGTGGCTAGCTGGTCTGCAGTGGGAGCAGTTCTAGAGATTCCCAATCCTATACTTGGTATGTCAGTAGATGTGGTACCACAGGGGATGAGGAGATCGTGCCTTTGACCTTGGATTTAGCTAACTCCTGATGATGAGATGAGAACCACATTTGGAGGGAAGAAGGCCAGGTCTGTTTGCCTGGGAAGGGAGACCTGTGCATAGTTATACTCAGAGGGGAAAGGTCTATGAATGGAGATTAAAGTTGTCCAAACAAGATAACCAGCTCATGAGGGAGGTGGTGAAACCTACCTACAAATAGATGGAGAGCAGAAGAACAGGAAAAAAGCCATCCTTGGCAGACTGGGACTTGAATCCCAAACCTTACAGGATGGCTTCTAAAACATCCTAGCAATCCTGACGAGGAGGCAGTATCAATTGCCACTACCATAGGCTACACTCTCTGCACATGGAACCTCATTGGGGAAGTGTCTCATGACTCAGATTTTCCATTAATTATAACTGGCCATCCACTCACTTAATAAAAACCCTTGTTAATAATTAGTCCCACTAATGGAGCCACTCGTAGCTTGTACCCTCCAAGAACCCAGTTCCCTCTCCAGAGTTAGAATAACACTCCAGCTCAAATCTCTGGGCAGGAGTGTGGCTGACTTCAGTGGTCATTTAAAAATGGGCAGCTAAGGTGTTTTCTAGGGAAATGCCCCTACTGGGTGGGGCAGGGAAGGATGAGAGGACATGAATTCACATAGGAACAGAGAAGGGCATAAATGAGGAAATCAGGTCAAGACAGGGCAGGGGCAGAGGACAAAGAAACTGTAGAGCCAGATAGATTAGGTTGGAGAAAAGGGTGGGTACTCAGAAATCCACTTCTTATTTTAATACCTCAAGCTAGATACAAGCTGTGGCACCACAGATGGTACCAGTACCAGGCTCACTAAGAGCTGCTGATGCTTGGGGATGAGACTCTCATCTGAAGGGACTCTCTAGGCTGCTGGACGGATAGACTGGGTGGAACCCACATGCCCATAAAGATAATGGCAGTAGTTGGCCAAATTCACTGTTAACTACCTGTCCTGATCCACTTAGATCTCACCATTCCCTGGGCTTTCTGAAACCTGCTGACTCAAGAGCATCAAGGCTGAGACTGACAGAGGCCTCCAGACCCTCCAGCTCATGCCTGAGATCATTCAGAAAGGACAGTGTCCACAACCTTGTCACTGTAAAGGTTATATCCCAATTCTAGACTCTATGTAAGCTGATTGGAAGCCTTTGGTGCTCTGGTCTCACGTACCTCCTCGTCGTGGTCGCCCTTAGTCCCATGGGCACCTGCAGTCTTCTTAACAGAGGTGCTTGCGTGGCCACCCTCCATGTCATCCACAGTATCCTCATGGATCGTGAAAGAATGCAGCTGTCAGCAAGCAAGGAGAGGAAGACAGCATTGAGCATGGCCTCTGAGTTATTAAAGTATTTACAAAATAAAGGCCCTCATTCAATGCTAGCCATGTGTCTCTCATCTATCATGCTCTGATTATTCAGCTGTCTTGCTACATCATTCTCTTTCTCCAGACCCCACATACATAAAAGTTGAGGTTAACATCCACCTTACATTTTAGAAAAGTAGAATTTAATGCTCCAGCCATTTAAAGCATTTGCAATCTTCACAGTCCACTGTATCTTCTGCACTAACAGAAGAAAGCAGGGAGCCATCCCAGTACAGCTGGACTCCAGTGTGCCCCAGGAGGTAAATCTCCCTAAAGCCTATTTGTTTTAGGTTATGGTGATCCCTGGGTACACCAGGGGCTCAAGGCAGGTGAGACAAAAGAAAGAAATTGATTCAAACTGATAATTAACAGTAGGAGAAAGTTATTTATAAGTTAAAAGTGGTTTGTTTGAATTTGCCTGCTATGGGGGTTTCCTAAGATAGTCTATAGCAACATGGGATAAAATAACCACCTTAAAAAATTTATGAAGGTGCTCGCTTCGGCAGCACATATACTAAAATTGGAACGATACAGAGAAGATTAGCATGGCCCCTGCGCAAGGATGACACGCAAATTCGTGAAGCCTTCCATATTTTTACTCCTGATGGGACCTAACAGACTAGGATCAGAAGGAAGAAAAAGAAACCCTCCCCTACCAGTGGGCTTGGGGAGGGGAGTGTGTGGAGAAGGGAGAGGAAGAGAGAGATTGGAAGGGTAGGAGGGAGGGAACTAGAGGGGGGGATACAAAGTAAATAAAGTATAATTAAAAAGTAAAAAAAAAAAAAACAAAAAAAAATAATTCAGAAAAAAAATTCATGAAGAATAACTTTTAATACCTATTTCAAAAATATGTGCCTCTAATCTTAGCACTAGGGAGGCAGAGACAGGAGGATTGCTTTGAGTTGAGGCTAGCCTGGACTACATAATAAATACCAGACAAGTCAATGCTAAATAGTGAGACTCTTTAAAAAACAAAAAATAAAGTATAAAATCCCCCCATGTCTAAACAATAAAACAAACAGTCTGGATGCTTATAAATCTTCAGTGACACCTAGGTACGACACACACAGCCTGTTCACAGTCTGAAGAACTCAAGACTCACGGTGTTTAGAAAATGGAGGATCGCTGTGCTGGAAGTAAAGGGGCCCCTGTCTATTGAGGGAGACACTCTCGAGGCAAGCCTCACCCCCAAGACTTCCTCAAGGTCTTGCAGGGAAGTCCCCCACTCTGTCCCCACCCAAGACTTTCGTTTCTAGAAGAGCGTGCTATGATCCATTGTGGGCAAACTAAAAGCCAGCGCTTACCTGAGATTTCTGGTGCTTGGCTCTGAGAATAAATGGCTTAATCAGAAGCATCCAGGGCACAGAGACCAATGCTATAATGACAAGGAAAGTTTGGACTTCTTGCTGCAAGATCAAAATGGCAACCAGTCACAAAGATGACCACAGAGTATTCTTCACATGCACATGGGGTTTCTCATGCTCGAGGGACCAAGGCGGGCACTTCAGCAGCCCTCTGAGCCACCTAAAGGGTTCCAACTGTTCACTGTCACACATTCCTAATGTAGACAGAGAAATGACTATCCTGTGGTGCTCTGTGTCCAAGGAAAGATAGAAACCACTTCTGTGTTGCTTACTCTCCATGTAGCACTTGTAATATTCTCACACCACATAGAGCCAGTCTTTAGAGGACATCCTCAAGGGACACATATGAAGACAGCTCTGTGCTTCCCTCATCCTTTAACTCTGCTCCATGGCACAGTTACCCTGGACCCGGAAGAAAATCGGCAGGCGACATGACTCCAAGCACACCTCTGCTGAGACCAAGCCTTGGTCATTTTATACTCAATCAGTAATTACACTTTTCCAGTGTGAGGTAATTATTTGTGCTCCCTCGCTCTCTCATCCTTCCTCCCTTTCTCTCTACTCCCGCCACACCCTCACCTGGCTTTCTGCCTCACGTTCCCCCCATGGGTTGGGATATCCACTACACACTCAGAGCCCAGTTTCTCATGGCTCCTCCTTTGATGGCTGCTGTGACCCAAGAGGAATCCCCAGCTTCCTGTTTCCTTTGAGCCCCCTCCCCTTTTTATACATTCCTCATCCACATTTTCCAGACCTCCCGCCCCCAGATGACATACAAAGCACCTAGTGAGGAGAGTGTATGTGCCTGTACACAAACAGGGCCAGAACAAAGCTGAGTGAAGCCTTAAATGACTACCATGTCTTCTACCATATAACCCTAGACTGAGGTTATGGAAATCCCAAACTGTGTCAACATAATTAATCCTCATAGTTGGCCTTGGGGAAAGCAACCAATTCCCTGCAATGTTTTTGAATACAACAAGAAGTTGGAAAACCACGTACTGCAATGCCTGGCGCCTCTTCCATACTAAGTGAGAGCCAGACCTCTCTACAAGCAGTTGATACTGGAAATACTGGAAATGGTGATTTACATAGCATTTCCATCGCACCGGATGCCAAAGTGATCAGGGAGCAGCTAACGAACGTGGCGGGAGAGCTAGGCACGGTGGCCTTTAACCCCACCACTCGGGAGCAGAGGAAAGTAAACCTCTAAAGCCAATGGCTACAAGAAAGAGCTTGTTACTTGGCTACTCTAGGGCCAGTGTCTACGAGAAAGGGTTTGTTTGGGAAATCCAAATAAATGTTCACTCTGATGCCAGCATGGAATAAATGACCCTTTAAAACACACTCCCTTTGTGCCAGCTCAGGGCTGTCATGTGTGTTTAAGAGTCAGATACAACCCCCACCACCACCACCACCGAGGGAGGAACAGCCTTGCTAGGCCACAGAGGAGGACATTGCAGCCAGTCCTGCAGATACCTGATAAGCTAGGGTCAGATGGAAGGGGGAGGAGGACCTCCCCTAGCAGTGGACTTGGAAAGGGACAGGGAGGAGATGAAGGAGGGAGGGTGGGATTGGGAGGGAATGAGGGAGGGGGCTACGGCTGGATACAAAGTAAATAACCTGTGATTAATATTAAAAAAATAAAAATTAAAAAAAAAAAGAGTCAGACACAAAAGGGCCCTCTGAGGTATGTTTCTTCTCTGATTATTATCTAAAACCAGTTCTCTTGCAAAAGCCTTGTCAGGAAGTAGGTTGTCGTTTTGCTTGCTGCCTCTGGAGGGAAGGGAACACAGCTAGAAGCCAAGAAAAAGGCTCAAAGTCAACTAGGACATCTAATGTAGGCAGTCCCTGGCAGAGGATGCTTCCATGGAAGAGCATGTGTGATCCCAGCCAGAGAACTTGGTCCAGAGGAATCAGGACGGAATTACAAAAACCCGCCCTCTAACTTCATTAGCTAGCTCATCTCTGTGTGAGACCAGGGTAAAAGAATTATGCGTTCTTTTGCATCCAATCCCAAGGAAGCATTTCTAGTTTCAAAAAAAAAAAAAAAAAATACAGTTTATGGGGAGAAGGAACATGCTGGAGGAGGAACAATGAGGAAGGAAGACAAATGGGAGCAAAGTACAATGACACAAGTGTGTGATGATGCCTTGATGAAACTCATGACTTTATATGTTCACCTAAACACTAAGATAACGAACAAATAGTAAGATAAACTCAACCATCGGTCTCTGCAAGTTCCACATATGCACATCCAGCCAATCAAAAACTTTTCTTCTTCCCCCCCAACCCCAAGAAAGGGTTGTTTATCTGTGTAGCCTTGGCTGTCCTGGACTCACTTTGTAGACCAGGCTGGCCTGGAACTCACAGAGATCCGCCTGCCTCTGCCTCCCAAACTGATGGGATCACAGGCGTGTGCTACTGCACTCAGCTCAATAAAAATACCTCATCTGGGGCATGGTGGCACACACCTTCAATCCCAGTACTTAGAAGGCAGAGGCAGGTGGATCTCTGTAAGTTTGAGGGCAGCCTGGTCTACAGAGAGTTCCAGGATTGCACAGAGAAACCCTGTCTCAAAAAAGAAAAAAACAAAAAAACCTCTCCGTACTGAACACATAGAAGACCTTCTTCTAGCCTTTGCATCCCTAGAAAATGGTGTCATGGTGATTTACATAGCATTTCCATTGCACTGGATGCCAAGTGATCCAGGGAGCAGCTAAAGAACTTGGGACTAAAGAGCTGGGCCTGGTGGCCTTTAACCCCACCACTCGGGAGGCAGAGGAAAGTAAATCTCTGTTAGTTCAAGGAACTTACAAAGTGAGTTCCAGGACAGCCATACACAAGAGATTGGAGCATCTGTGGACTGGAGTTTCTACAGGCAGATTTATAGATTGTGTCCTGGAACAATCCCCTGTAGATTCCCAGAGGCAGCTGTTAGGCTGATAAAGAGGCTAAAGAAAATTGGAAAGCTCAGAGTGGGAGTAAAGTCCAACTGTTGGAACATATATCCATTGAAGAACAGAAAATGGTGGTGGTTGGGAGAGGTCTATCTGACATGGGGAACCATGGGGTAGCAAGAGCCCGGCCCACAGTTTTCCAGAAATCCACTATCCTTAGAAACAGAAGAACTTCTGTTCTTGGTTTTCTTTTTATTTTCTTTTGTGTGAACCTCAGCTAGGAGTTAGCTTTTTTAACAAAAGATTTTATTAGTTTGCTTCTTGGTTTGTATTTAGAGAAGAGTTTCACTGTGGATCACTGGCTCTCCTGGAACTCTCTTCACATAGGACCAGTCTGGCCTCAAACTTAGAGATCCATCTGCCTCTGCCTCCCAAATGAGATTTTTAAATCTTTCTCTCTTTTTTTTCACATTTACTTGCTTGTTTATTTTGCATGCATGTGGAGATCAGAGGACGACTTGAAGGACTTGGTTCGCTCCTTCCACCATGTGGGTCCCAGGAATTGAGCTTAGTCATAGAATGGTAGTGAGCACTTACCTGCTGCTGAGCTATCTTGCTAGTCCAAGAGTTTTAAACTAGTGCATTTTACAATTCAAGCCAACCCATCAGAAGTATTAGTTTTTTCCACTTTTCCTAGCCAGTTTCCAACTCCTCAACAATAATGTCCCTTGTGCATTACCCCAGCAGAAAGCACGGGAGACACAAAGCTGTGCCTGTCCCTTGTTTGATGAGAATACAACATTCTTCCCAGACTGCTAAGATGGCTCAATCTTGCAAAGAACTACTCAGACCATGAGAGACGTTTTATGAAATCGAATGGGTCTGAGGAGGTGTTTTCAAGGCAGAGCTACCTGATGGCTGTACAGGGGTGCATTGGAGTCATCGTAGTCAAACAGAAACATGCTGATGAAGTGGATGAGGATGCTGGGAGCCTTCCGGGATGTGTGGGCATCATATCGACACCACTTGAAAATGATCATGAAAACCAGGTAGCCAAACAGACTCAGCATGAAAATCATCTCGGGGATGAACTGCAGAATGATGTTGAGGGGTCTTCGGAAGTAACTAGGGGTGGAAAACACATATAAGAGCGAACATTAATGGACCGTTAGTGCTTTGAGCTTAAGTACTCTCCCCGGGCACACAAGGCTCATTTCCTTCTTGAGCACTGCTGGCAAACAGCTGTGCACCGCTGGCAAGCACAAACATGTATGACAGAAAAGGGAAGAGAAAGGCAGCGCACAGGGAGAGCTTTTACGCAGATTTAGAGAGCCTAAGTCTCTCCAGACGGTACCATCAGGTGATACGGACACAGCTTCCCGCGAAGACTTCACTCCCAAGTCACATTTGTGAAATTAAGCAATAGCAAGACATTTGGAAGCTTTTCTCCTACGCATGTGCTAAGACAGGGATTCCAAATCTATGGCCTGTAGGGTAGGTAGAGCCTGGAAACTACAAATGATTCTAAATATGAGGCTGGGGAGGTGGCTCAGTGGATAGGATCACTTGCTGTTCTTCCAGAGGATGACCCAAGCTTGATTCCCAGCAGTCACATCAGGGGGCTTAACTTCAGGTCCAGGGGTCCATCTTCTGGCACTCCCCCACCCCCCAGATGTAACAGTCACACATATACACACATTTAACTAGGTGGTCCTCACCTTTCTTGATTGGGTTGAAGAAGAACACTAAAAGCGGGGTCTGGTAACACAAGCCTGCAATCGCAGACGCTCCAAAGGCGTTCTAGCACTGCCTGGGCTGCACACTGAGTCACAGGGTGGCCTACACAACTTAATGAGAGCCCGTCTCAAAACTACAACACCGAAAAAGGAAAACCAGGCATCACAGTGTGTCTGTAATCCCAGAACTAGGGAAATGGAAGCAGGAGGATCAGGAAATCAAGACTATCCTTAGATACCAAGTTCAAAGTCAGCCTGTGCTACATGAGACCCTACCTTTAAATAATGGGGGGCTGCAGCTGTAGCTCACTAGTGGAACACTTGCCTAGTGTGGTGGTTTGAATGGCTCCCGTAGATTCATATATTTGCATTCTCAGTCTCCAGTTGGACTGTTTGAGAAGAATTAGAAGGATTAGGAGGTGTGGCCTTGTGGAGAAAGTATGTCCTCAGGTGGCTTTGAGGTTTCAAAACTCAGCACCACTCTGTCTCTCTCCCTCTGTCTCTATCTCTCTGTGTCTCTGTCTGTCTCTCTCTCTGCCCACTGCCTGTGGATCGGGATACAAAACTCTCAGCTGCTGCTCCAGCTACATGCCTGCCTACCACAATGCTTTCCACCATGACGACGATGTACTAACCCTCTGAAACTGTAAGCCAGCCTCAAATTAAATGCTAAGGGTTTCCAAGGTCATACTGCCGCTTCACAGCAACAGAACAGTGCCCAAGACACCTATCCTGTGTGAGGCCCTATGTTCAATTCCTAATGCCTCAAGAGAAGAAAAAAAGAGTATTTTATGGTCCTGAAATTTTGTAAATTCTCTCAAGACACAATGCCATGATAGAAGGTTCAGAGCCTTCTGCTCTAAGACAGAGCCTTACAGGCGAAGAGGAGCTCTAGTCACAGCACCTGCAGCACTCCAGGTAGTGGCCACCCATCTTCTACATCCCTGGGTGAAAGGGTGACAGAGGTGGAACCTGTGTGAGCTCTGCTCCTATGATTCATGGTCTTAAGCCATTGCGATTAGAGTTGTTCATGTTCCTGTAACCTAACTAATTCTGGTCATATATTCCCATTCTCTTCCCCTCTCTCTCCTTTCTTTCCTTCCTTTCTTTTTTAGACAAGATCTCCCATAGCCCAGACTGGCCTTAAACTTGCTGTGTAGCTAAACCTGGAGGATCTGACTTCCCTGCCTCCACCCAAGAGCTGCAATTACAAGTGTGCCCCACCGTCATACCCATTTTGTGCAGTGTTAGACACTGAACCTAGGACTTCCAGCATGCTACACTCTCCCTGGCCCCATCCTATTAGTTCACCACGATAATAGTCCCCCATCCTATCTGCCCCCTGTCCCGCATCCATCCTATCTGTCCCCTCCCCCATCCTATCTGCCCCCTGTCCCCCATCCTATCTGCCCCTGTCCCCCATCCTATCTGCCCCCTGTCCCGCATCCTATTAGTTCACCACGATAACAGTCCCCCATCCTATTTGCCCCCTGTCCCACATCCTATTTGTTCACCATGATAACTTAATGAGACCCCGTCTCAAAACTAAAACAGTGAAAAAGGAAAACCAGGCATCATAGTAATGTCAGGCATTGAGCTTATAGTCACATTCATTGGGAGCTAATGGGGAGACTTCAACTGACTGATTACAAACTCTCCACCACTTCTGTGGGCCCCGACGTCCTGCCTATCCTAAGTAGCAAGTGGGATTTCTGTGGTACCTACAATCAGGCACACTGAATGAGCATATATTATGCTATCCAATAAGTTTACCATCAATAAGTTTAGAAGCTTTCAAGTCAAGGATGTTGACAGAAGGAAAGGAACAGAGTGCCAACATGAACGGGCAAGAGAAAAAGAGGCTGCCACCAGCCGGGAGAAAGGATCTCCAGCAGCACCTTGGCCAGAATTCATACAAGTCCTCCCTGGCCCATTGGGTAGAGAATGAGCTGGAACTATACCAACATTTCCTTTCAGGTAGGGGGAAAACAAGGTGCTGTGAGCTCCCCAGCCCCATGCTGAACCCCCAGGCATTTCCTGGGAGAAAAACACGTTTGCATCAATAGACTGCATGGCAGAAACAGAGGTGCTCCTGATTCTGACCAACCAGCCTGTCTCAGCTCAAGCCAGACCCACAGGGAAGCTACCTCCCAGATGAGGCTTATTTGTAGCTCTGCCTCTCCTCCTCATCAGTGCCATTTGATGAGCACTCAGAGGGTGAATCAAGAAATTCACATGTAGAGTGGAAGATGGCTCATCAATAAAGAATCCTTGTGTTCTTGTAGAGGACCCAAGTTTGGTTCCTAGAACCTATGTTAGGCAGCTTACAACTACCAGGGAACCCATGAGCCTGCACTCACATGCACATACCACACTCAAACACACACACAATTTTAAATATTTTTAAAGAAGAAACTCACATGTGATTGAAGAGACTGAGAATAACACCAAAAATCATATGAATAATCCCCAGGACGACTGACATCTTCATCTTATAGGAGTTTAAAAATGTGAGTTTGTTTGCAGCCAGGTTCCAAATCTGTATAAGAAACATGACAAGAAAGACATGAGGCAGAATTGGGGAGATCTGAAGGAGTTGGGACAACAACACAAGCCCTAAGATTGTCTGGGGACGATGACACTGAATTCAGAAAAGGGGAAAGGACAAGACGGTTATAACTCTAGCTGTGCTGACAGTGTTAGAAACATAGGTACCACTGATCAGATATCCCAGTGCTTGGAGGAAAACCAGAGATTAAGGACTACTGAGGTGGCCCATTGAGTAAGCATGGCTGAGCCCAGCTACCTACCTGTGCTGATTAGTTTTTGTCCAATTGACAAACTGGAGTCACCTGTTGCCTCCATCAGAGATTGGCCTGTGAGCCGTTTCCTTGCTTGGTGATTTATGTGGGAGTCCAGGCCACTGTGGGTGGTTCCATCCCTAGGTAGGTGGTCTTGGGTTGTATATGGAAGCAACTAAGCTATGAGGCGCTCCATAGCCTCTGCTTCAGTTTCTGCCTTAGCTTCCCCTCAATAATGGACAAGTGACCTGGGAAGTTAATAAACAATTTCCCCTCCAAGTTGTTTGTGGTCATGGTGTTTAAAATCACAGCAACAGGAAGCAAACTGAAACACAACCAGAATTCTATCCCTGGAAGTCATGCAAAAGTAGAAGGAGAGAACCAACAAAGTTGTCATCCAACCTCCACATGTATGCTAGGGCATGCATGCCTCCCCTCAGAAATTCTACATACATACACATATACCATACATACATACAAAAAAGCAAAAGACATATGAAAATTGAAAGATATTCTGAAATACTATGGAGAATCTCAAACTTGCCTCAGTTCCTTTACTAATGGTCTGCAGAATGTTGACGTAAGAATGGATCTCAACTCCTTTTTAGTAACATCCCATTTTGCTTTGAGTCCCTGGAATACCTCATATAGCAAGACATTTTCCAGAACCTTAAGCCATCAGGGTCTCACTGTGCATATGTTTCCTCCTTGCCACAGAAAGCTCACTAAACCCGTGATCTGTATTCCCATCCCAAGGCCATGCTTCTACCCTTGACCTCACATGAAATTCAAGCACCTCCTCACTTCCATCACAAACAACTTCCTACTCCAAACTGCTTTCCTTCTCAGAGACTGCACTCGTTACTTTTCTGTTGTTGTAAAGAAACACTGTGACCAAGGTAACTTATTGAAGGGTTTATTTTGACTTACAGTTCCAGAGGGTTAAGAGTCCATCATGGCAGAGAAGCATGGTAGCATGCCCTCAAGACCTGGTTACTCCCCGGATATACCTATCCTTGTTGTGTAAACCTGCCTAAGACATACCTGATTGGTTGACTAAACAGCCTATACCTAGGCAAGGCAGAATGGGGTAGGCGTGGCTAAGGTTTCCCAAGAGAATGTGAGGAAGACAGATGGAGAGAGCGGAGGAAGGAGGACACCTCACTGGGTTAGCATGGAGAAGAAATCACGTGGGCCAAGAGGAAAGACTCCTCTTGGAGTCTTGGCCAAGAGAGGCATGAAAAGGTCCAGGTGAAGAATACAAGCAAGTACCTTGGGATTATGGATGGGAATCTTAGGAATGATTAAGGCTGATGGCATTGGATGAGGGCTGGGAGATGGATGGTGAGGTTATTGAGATAGTGTAGGTAGAAATATCTGCCCACCCCAAGGTAATAAGGCAATTATAAAATCTAACAGGTGTCTGTGTCTTATTATTTGTGATGGAAGGTTAAATACTACCACCACAATAATTGTAGAGCTAGTAATAAATAATATATAGCCCAACACTCTTTATTTATACAACATAGTACAGAAACTCTGGACTACTTCGCTGTTTTTGTTTTGGTCCTCTTTTTAAAATTACTTTTCTGTTAATCGAAAGGCTGGAGAGATGGCTCGGTGGTTAAGAGATGGAGAGGTGGTTAAGAGCACTGGCTTCTGGCCTCTTTGGGCAAGTTAACAGTCAAAGCAATTGGTTTGTGTCATTATACTTTGTTCTACTGCATTCCCCTTTGCCTGTGTCTTCCCCAGGGACACTAGTTCCCTCTAGGTCTGGTTCTCTTCCTTCTCCCCAAACAGTTCTCATTTCTGCTTTTATGTCACTCAGATTCCATTACTATCTGTCCTGGTTAGGTTTTCTCAGCTTGACACAAACTAGAGTCATTTGAGAAGAGAACATGAGCTGAGAAAATGTGGCCACTAACTTGGCCAGTTGGAATTTCCCTGATTAATGAATGATATCTGAGGATCCAGCCCAGCAAGCCAGCTGGGGCAGGTGGTCCTGCATAGTGTAAGAAGTCTGGCTGAGGGCTGTAGAGATGGCTCAGATATTCAGAGCACTGGCTGCTCTTCCACAGGTCCCAAGTTCATTTCCCAGCACCCACATGGTGGCTCACAACCATCTATAATGAGATTGGTGTCCTCTTCTGGCCTGTAGGTGTACATGCAGGCAGAACACTATACATAATAAATGAATCTAAAAAGAGTGAATGAATGAATGAATGAATGAATGAATGAATGAATGAATGAGAGAAAAGAAAGACAGAAATCTGGCTGAGCAAGCCATGAGGAACAAGGCAATAAGCAGTATCCATCCGTGTGGCTTCTGCTTCAGCTCCTGCCTCCAGGTTCCTGCCCTGACTTCTAGTAGACTGTGATGTGGAAGTGTGAGCCAAATTAACCCTTTCCTCTCTAAGTTGCATCTGGTCACGGTGTTTTATCATAGCAATAGAAAGCAAGCTAAGACACCCTCTCTTTTTTTCCCCACCCCCCTTAAGATCTCTTTTCAGGATTCTCCTGAGAGTCCCATCCCCCATCACCACCTCCAGGCTTTAAATACAGGCTTTGAAGGAGAGAAAACAAGCAGCACTGGTATTTCTGAAGTAGGCGTATTTAGCCTGACACAGTAACTTCCAGTTTCATGCATTTTCCTGCAAATGTCAGGATTTCATTTTTCTTTAAAGGTGAATAAGATCCTATTGTGTACATGTGCTACATTTTCCTTATCCATTCATGTGTTGATGGACATCGAGGCAAGTTCCATTTCCTGGCTGTTGGAGAGAGAAGCAGTGAATGCCAATGGGCAAGTGTCTCTGTGGTGTAGCCAAGGGTGGGCCAGCTGGGCCGTACAGTTCTGTTTTCAGGTTTCTGAGGGGCCCCCATACTGACTTCTGTGACGGCCACATGTGCTTACACCCCCACCCATGGTGCATAGAGGCACCTTTGCCCCCACACCCTCCCCAGCATTTGTCGCCCCACCCTAGCTTCTAAGTGTAAAGTTCTCCATCCTTGCTGAATCTGAGGAGCAGAAATGGACAGATGGGGTTTGCTGACAGCTGGGTGTGGGCTGTGCAGGAAGAGAAGGTAGGAACAATGGGATTCAAAGCAAAGGAAAGTCACCAGACCCTGACATTTCCTCCTTGCCTGTTTCCTGGCTATGACATCCTGACCAATGAGAAAGCCTTCCGCTCTGCAAAGATAACAACACATGGTGTTGGAGAGAAGGCCCCACAAAGAGTCCAGGACAGCCAAGGCTAAACAGAGAAACCCTGTCTCAAAACAAAACAAAACACAAATATTAACAACTCATGTTTGTCTTCTACACTTTGCAGTTTACAAGCTGGCTTTCAAAATTTTTACCTGTTTTGTTAAAACTTACAATGCAACTGGGACTGAACAGTAGGTCTGAAAATCCCCATGCAATGCTTTCTGCTATATTTGGAGTGAGGGGAGAAGAACCTAGGGGAACTGGATATGATGAGTGCATGAGGGAAGCAACTGAGGGGAAGGCTTTTGGAGAACCACTGTGGGGCCCATGCTGGTCACCCTCAGTCACTGAAGCTGGAACTGACCACTCAGGCACTGTCCCACACAGCTGAGAATGACAATGACTCTGGAAACAACCCAGGTGTCCCTCAGTTGAGGAATGGACACAGAAATTGTGGTACATTTACACAATGGAATACTATTCAGCAATTAAAAACAAGGAAATCATGAAATTTGCAGACAAATGGTGGGATCTAGAAAAGATCATCCTGAGTGAACTATCGCAGAAGCAGAAAGACACACATGGTATATACTCACTTATAAGTGGATATTAGACCTATAAGATAGGGTGAAATCTGTACACCTAAAGAAGCTAAGCAAGAAGGAGGACCCTGGGTAAGATGCTCAATCCTTATCCAGAAAGGCAAACAGGAAGGGCATCAGAAGAGGGAGAAAACAGGAAACAGGACAGGAGGAGCCTACAGAGGGCCTCTGAAAGACTCTACCCAGCAGAGTATGGAAGCAGATGCTGAGACTCATAGCCAAACTTTGGGCATAGTGCAGGGAATCTTATGAAAGAAGGGGGAGATGAAAGACCTAGAGGAGAAAGGAGTTCCACAAGGAGAGTAACAGAACCAAAAAATCTGGGCCCAGGGGTCTTTTCTAAGACTGATACTCCAACCAAGGACCATGCATGGAGATAACCTAGAACCCCTGCACAGATTTAGCCCATGGCAGCTCAGTGTCCAAGTTCCTATCTCTGACAGGAACTTAGTGGCTGGCTCTTTGATCATCTCCCCCTGAGGGGGGAGGCAGCCTTACCAGGCCACAGAGGAAGACATTGCAACCAGTCCTGATGAAACCTGATAGGCTTGGGTCAGAGGGAAGGGATGGAGGACCTCCCCTGTCAGTGGACTTGGGGAGGGGCAAGGGAGAAGAAGAAGGAGGGAGAGTGTGTCTGGGAGGGGATGAGGGAGAGGGCTACAGCTGGAATGCAAAGTGAATGAATTGTACTTAATTTAAAAAATTAATTTTTTAAAAAGTATCCTCCAAAAACTAAAACTAAAAATAATCGAGTCTATGGTTGATTGGGAGCACAACACTGCCACCTAGTGGCAGCATGCACCAGCTGTATATGAATGAAAGTGTTTCCATTCACAACTCAGATATATTTTCTCCCTACTCAGAGATCTCACAGTGTAAAGGTTTTGGAAAATGCCGCATCTAATTGATTGAGAGATACAACAAACAAATAAGTAAAATGGAACATATCTTAGAAATCCACAGGAGTCTGGGTGAGATCTCAGTCAGTCTGTGAAGTGTCTGCCATGCAAACACTTCTCCGAACTCAAGCAAAAGTGTGTGGTGGTAGGCGCTTTTAGTCCCACTGCTGGGGAGCCTAAGACAGGTTTCCTGGGGCTCACCAGCCAGCCACCCTAGCTTACTCGGCAAACTTCAGGTCTCTGAGAAACCTTGACTCAAAAAAACAAGGTAGCTGCTTCTGAGGATGACACCCAAGTTTGATCTCTGGCCTGCAGAAAAGGTAAAGTCATACTTCACCGTGCAAAATGTTACCCACTGCAAAGAAATACCACAGTAGAGGGCCTGGTCAGGATATCAAGAAACTTATTTAATATATATGCTTTCTAGGCCATAAAATAGAGAGAGAGAGAGAGACTTCAGGTATTTTTTTTTTTTTTTTGAGGCAGAATGTCTCATTGGCCAAGCAGGCTAGACCGGGTAGCTAGCAAGCTCCAGTGATCCACCTGTCACCACATGATGGTTGGGATTCCAAGAACATACCATTATGCCTAGATTTTGTTTTGCTGTATTCTTTGAGATAGGGTCTAAACTAAGTGGACCAGGCTGGCCTCAAATTCATAAAAAAAATCTCCTGCTTCAGCCTCTGAGTATTGTGATTAACGGTATGTACCGTCATGCCTGTCCATATCTGGCTTTTGACATGAAGGTTTTGGAGCCCAAACTCAGGTCCTCCTGCTTGTAACACCAAGCACCTCGTCAGCTGAGCTGCCTCTCTCGGCTCCAATGCCTTTAAAAAGTGCATTATTAGCCAGCAACAGATAGCTGATGGAGAAGGAAGCAGGCAGGAAACTATACAGAAAGTGAGAGCTCAAGGCAGTTCATCTACTGAACACAGCTCTGCCTGTCACACAAATCTCTGAATTTATCTCATCTCATCTTTAGTTGTTCCTTGTCTATTCAGAGATCTCAATAACACACTGTGGAGGAATTCTATTCCAACAACATGGCTGCTTTGGCATGAAATCACATCCACATGCCAAAGACCTTCTAGGTCTTTGTTATGGAATGGCACACCTTCAATCCCTCTGGCTAGAATACAGACACACCCTCACTACACACCTTTATCCCAAACAATGAAGGTAAAGTTAGTTTGTAGAAGGAAGCACCGTGTTTTGAAAGTGATGTCTAATTGAGAGGCAGACAAAATGGCAGATCAGAAAAACTTGACAGAATAGGATATGCCCAACTCTTACAAGGACAGAGGAAAGGGGGGCGACTTAAAGGCAGCACAGAGAGATAGGGGAGGAGGCAGTTTTATTGGGAAAGTTTTACAGAGACAGGTTGAAGAGAGAACAAGCTAGACATGGGTAAAAGACAGAAGAAGCCAGAGAATGAGAAGGAGCCAGATGATTAGAACAGATTTCTAGAGTTAGTTTGAGGCCAAACAGATCAATTCAGTGAGAAACTGAGAGAAGCCAGTTTTGAATCATTCAGCTTGGAGAGGAGGTTAAGCCAGAACAGCTGAGTTGAACCAGCTAGCCAGAGTTCAGAAAGAACTAGAAAGGGTGAGTTTATTCAGCAGTAAGTCTCAGAGGCCGAAAACATTCTAGGCCTAGGTTAGATTGAATGGAGGCTAGAAGCTTCCAAGACTAGGCCTAGGATAGCAGACAGAAGGAAGCCTCAGAGACACAATTCTGTCAGGAGAATTAAAAATACATTTACACATTATCCATAACTGACATTTCACCCCAAAGGGCATTCTTACCGGATCAATCCCAAATGGGTAAGGATTTCCAGAATACACTCCTGGGATGGCTGGGTCCAGCTGCAAATATGGACTCTTTTCTACTACGTGAGCACTAAAAAGATAAAGCAGGGAGACAAAAGTAATATAAAACAATCATTCTGGTGCTGAAACACTACAGTATCATTAGCCATGAGCTTGCAAGACAATCAAAGCCCAGAAGCTGGCAAGATGGAAGTTTTGCTCACTCAGTGGCTCCATATTTGGTGACAGAGTAGCTACCATGTATCAGGTACTGTCCTGAGCCCTAACACTTCTGAAAGTACCCTCTAGGCAACACAGGTTCACAGCCCAAGTTTCCAAAGAGCCGTAGCCCTGACTAGAGTGCAGTCAGGAAAACTAGAAGTTTTAACATATCCACAAAGAAGGTGGGGAGGGTTGAGGGAAACAGAGAGTAAGGAGAGATGGTTAGGACAGGATAGCATCATGAGGTCTCCCAGAGGACACCTGCGCTGGTCCTGAAGGACAGATAGACTTTTTTGTTTTGTTTTGTTTTGTTTTGTTTTGTTTTTCAAGATAGGGTTTCTCTGTGTAGCCTGGCTGTCCTGAAACTCTCTGTAGACCAGGCTGGCCTTGAACTCACAGAGATCTGCTTGCCTCTGCCTCACAAGTGATGAGATTAAATATGTTTGCCACCATGCCCTGCTCAGATGGACTTTTTACAGAGAGACCTTGATCTCTGTAAAACTCAAGCACATACACACACACAAAGAAAGGGGGAAAAAAAGAAAAATTTTAGATGTGAAACTTGGTCAGGCTGCCCAGTGAACATCAAGGTGTGTCTGCTTTGCCCCTGCCCACCCCCCCCCCAGTGCCCAGGCTACAAATATGTGCTGCCATGCTCAGCTTTTGAGTGGATGCTGGAGAGCTGAATTCGGTCCCGATGTTAGTGCAGCAGTCACTTTATCAGGTGAGAAATGTCCCCCGCCCCCCCCCCCCCCCTTTTCAAGCCTCTAGAGGAAGCTCCGGGAATGTGTTTGAAATAAAGAAGACTGACCGCTGTGACTAGGCGCCCACCCTCCATGCTGAATCACTGTGCCATGATCTCAGACAGGGGCTTGGGACACCAGGAAGCCTGCTTAGGACACTAGTGTGCTGCCTTCCTTACTGGGCCATACCTCCAACCCCAGTAAACACGGGCTTACTGCGGGTAGTCTCCAGAGGAAAGACACTGCCAAGTGTCGGAGGAAGCAGGCCCAGGACCCAGGACCCAGGCTCTGCCTGGTGACCAAACTCAGCTTGAGTGCTCTTCACCTCTGGTGAAGGAGGACTCCAGCTTTCCTCAGCCTCACTGAGAGCAAGGTTCTCCTTACGCCAGCTGGGGCATGCGGTGGAGCCCCTATCCACCCTGGATTCAGGGTGTCAGAAGAGTCTGAAGAAGGGAACATTTGCAGGCACACTCTACCTATGAATGCAGAGCAAGCCCGTTCATTCATGGTCCAGGGAGAATGAAATTTCACGTAGTTATGGGAAATCATGCAGATTTAATATATTTGAAAGCTAAGTTCTAGGCGCCTCTTCAGATGCCTAGTAATGGGGTGGAGTGCATAAAGGCAGCAGCCATCCATCTTCAGATTTAGCCTTCATTTTTCCTTATTACTTTAGCGCTGCCATCTTCTACACCAAGAACTTGGGCCTTCCAGAGAAACCAAATGAGATCCATCAGAACCTCCACAAATCAAGCTAAAACTTGTCACCATCTGGGCTGGGGATGGAGTCAGTGGTGGTCCACTTGCTTGTACAAGGACCTGATTTCAGTCCTCTTTCTAAAGCAAAACTCCTTCCATTCTCTCCAGAGAGCCTTCTAGCAAACAAAGTGCCCTACAGAAAGTTCCCCAGAGCTAATCTCCTCAAGTGAGTCTGCTTTCTCTCTCTCTCTCTCTCTCTCCCCCCCCGTACGTGTGTGTGTGTGTGTGTGTGAGTGTGTGTGTGTGTGTGTGTCCTCTACAGACTTGAGTGAAAAGTAAAACCCTTGCATTTCCTCAAATAGAAGTGTCAGAGGCTAGTCACAGTGAGGCACAGCTTTAATCCCAACACCTGTGAGGCAGAGGCAGGTGGATCTCTAAACGTTCAAGGCCAGGAGAGTGAGACCCTGTCTCAAAAACAGAAGAAAGGAAGGAAAGAATAAACAAATGAATGAACAAACAGAGAAAAAAATAAAGGTGGGGGGAATGTTCTAGTACTTGGTGATGGGGGAAGGAGGCAGGACCGAACCCAAGGCTGTAACCCCATTGTTTCTCTCATACTCTGAACGTCCTCACCCAGATCCACAACCCTAGCTTGTTGTACTTCAGTCTGCTTAGCTGCTAAAACAGTCGTGGAAAGTACATGGGATATGCCGACTGTGGAGTCTAAGTCCCGCTAGCTTCCAGCTAGTTTCGCCCACCCTCCACTCACCCTTCTGACTGCCAGCCACAAGCAAATCCAGGAAGCTGCCAATGCAAACTCTCACTCTCCTCTTTGCTCCAATATTGAACTCCAGCTTTTTCTGGGAAGCCTAAGGAGCACCCCTGCTGCATGGGGTGGGGCCTGGGACTCTGGATGCTGAGGAGCTGTATACTCCAGCACCTGGGCCAGCCTTTTTAAAGCAAAGTCTTCTCTGCTAAATTCCTGGCTGGCAATGCCACCCTCCATCTCCACACAAGAGCACGGCACATTGCCATCCTCACCCCATTCTCTGTGAGGCTTCTACAGCTCCTCCTGGGATGCTCAGGTTCCAAGTGCTGGACCGCCTGCTTTTACAATAGTGCCTGCTGCCCAGCATACATTCACCTGAGCAGAAATTTTGCAAGCTATCTCTCTGCGTTACAATGACCAGCTTAGTGGCTGCGGAACTGGTCCCAGTCATGCACACAATTGGTAAAACTGGATTACTGGGGCCGAAGAGCTGGCTTAGCAGTTAAAAGTACTTGCTGCTCTTGCAAAAGCCCCAAGTTCAATTCCCAGCAACCAAACGGCAGCTCAGAAAACCTATCTATAACAGCAGTTCCAGGACCTCCAATGCCTTCTGACCTCAGCTACACCCACACATGGTACACACACATACACGCAGGTAAAACATCCATACATGTAAATTACTCATAAAAAAAATCTCTTTTAGAAAGTGGATTATTGGATGAAATTTCAGGGCAAAGCTGTGGATGACAGCCAGGAGTCACTGAGGTCTTTGGGTGGCCCGCAAGCACACCCCGGCAGGCTACAAACTTACTTCCATGTGCCGTTTCTGAACATGGGCTGGACACTCCAAGAGGAGCCAAAGATGTTAAAAGATTTGGAGAAGCAGTCGTTGTAGATCAAGCCGGTGTAGATGGAGAAGATGCCCATTAGCAGGATCAGGTAGCGCCCATTGAAGAAGGTGTTCCAGATCTGGCCCAGGAAAACAGAAAGGGAAACAGAGTGTCAGGGGCTCTGAAGTGATGTAGGAGGGAAGAGTGACACGGATATCTCCAGCATCAGCAGTGTCGGGAGAGAAGGCACGATCAAGGCAGACATCATATCTCCATACGCCTGGGCCTATGTGGGTCAGATAATCCCTGGCCTGTATTCACTGTGCAAACAAAAACTGAGCCTCGTGTTCTCTTTTTAGAAGAATGGATGGGCTTGCACACGACTAAGGAAGGGACTGGAAATTGGCAAGCTGTGGTCTCCAGCACCTCCAGGACACAAGCCCTGAGCTGGCCTCTGCCCCACCTTCTCAGGTAAGATCTATTTCACTTGGGGCTTTGTCTTCACAGAGCTGGCTTCTGTCTGCCACATCTGCTTCAGAAAGCAGTTTCCTGGGACACTGGATGTGGGCATCACTCATTCTAAGACCTGCTGACATGTTGCTTTGCAACTTTGAATATCTTCCATGGAAAATGGCATCTGTTAAACTTGTCATGGAAGAATGAATTGGTCACAAGGCTGACCTTGCTTATGATTAACTCACAATGACATCATGGCATTCGCTCTTACCAATCCAGCCTGTTCCAAAGGACTGCGGCCATTCTTATAGTCTGGAACATAGCTAAGGGCATGTTTCCACTCTATCAAATGTATTACCATGACCACATCCACCATTAACTGACCAGCAGATAAACTGTAACCAGTACAGGCACCCAGGGGCTTCTATCTTCACCATACCATGGAAGCCAGCCCATGCCAAAGGCAGAGAGACTCCAAGTGAGCTGTGAAGTTCCAAAACCTGGGACTCTTTGGGGTTTCTTATATTTATGGTTGTGAGCCTAGCCTCTAACAGCTGAGCCATCTCTCCAGCCTTCCTTCGGATTTCTTAAAGGTTCTGCCATGAACAAATATTCATAGTGTTTTATGATAGGTTTTAAAGGAAGCTACAAATAATGTATAGTTCTTGATGGCAATTTTTGAAAATTAAGTATTTGCAGATAAACACAAACACACAAAATAGACATATATTCAAAAGCATTCATCATGATCTTTTTCTAGGTGGTTGAACTATAGTCTGACCTAATATCTACAATTAATATCTATAATCAGAGTAAAGCAAGTTGTTTTAAAAATTAACAGGGGGCCTAGATTTAATCCTAGTACTCCTGAGGCAGAAGTAAGCAGAGCTCTGTGAGTTTGAGACCAGCTTGGTTTATATAGTGAGATCCTGTCTCTAATATAATAATAATAATAATAATAATAATAATAATAATAATAATAGGCTGGAGAAATGGCTCAGAGGTTAAGAACCTTGGCTATTCTTCCAAAGGTCTTGAGTTCTATTCCCAGCAACCACATGGTGGCTCATAACCATCTATAATGTGATCTGGCGCACTCTTCCAGTGAGCAGGCATACATACAGGAGAATGCTGTATAAATATAAATAAATAAATCTTTAAGTAATAATATTAATAATAATAATAATGGGGCTGGAGGTATAACCTAGTGGTAGAACCCTTGCTTAGCACACACAAGGCCCTGGTTTATTCCCCAGGACACCCAAACATCAGCAAAAATCAATGCTTTGCTTGTCTAGCATTCAACATAAACCTGGCATAGCAACGCATGCCTGCAATCCCAGATCTCCAGAGGCGGAGACAGGAGGCTCAGAAGTGAAATGTCATCCTTGGCTACACACTGAGTTTGAAGCCAGGTTGGGATATATAAAATTCTGCCTAAAAAAAAAAAAAAAAAAACCAAACAAACAAAAATAAGTGAGCCAAAACCCGATATCTCATAATGCCACAGTGGGGGGAAAAAGGTGAACTTACCACATCAAGACACGCAAAGAAACCACCTTGGTTAAGGGTTTTATGTTGAATTGGGCTATTTTATGTTATTCCTTAGAGTGATAACCACATACATGTCATTAAAAAGATTGATTCTTACAGTTATTCCTTATGTATGTGTGTCTGTATGAGTGTATGCCACATGTATGCAGGTGCCTGAGGCAGTCGAGAGAGGGCGCTGGGCCCCCTGGAGCAAGAGTTATGGGTGGTTGTGGGCCGCCCAACATGGATGCTGGGAACCACACTCAGATCTTCTGCAGGAGTGGTTGGCACTAATTGCTGAGGTGTCTCTCTAGCCCCTCATGTTGTTTGTTTGTTTGTTTGTTTGTCTGTCTGTTTGTTTGTTCGTTTGTTCGATACAGGGTCTCACTATTTTAGTCTAGCTGTCCTGGAACTTACTATGTAGACCAGACTAGGCTCAAAGAATTCACAGAGATCTTCCTGCGTGAGTCACCATGACCAACTCCTCACATACACATCTTAACCATTTCCCTCCTGGAACATTTGCTGACCACCCACCTCATTGGTGCTCTTTTGAGCCAGCAGTTGCCGCTCATTCAGAACCATCCACAGGGCTGCCATTAGCATCACCATTCCGTGACCACAATCTCCAAACATCACAGCGAAGAGGAAGGGGAAGGTGATGACGGTGTAGGGAGCTGTAGGGGTGACATTCACAGCAGCTGAGACCCCTGAACTAAGATTTCTATAGGGGTCCCCCACTTGCCGGCAAGTTTACACAGTCCTTCCTGATTGTCTCTCCTCCTCCATCTTCACACCATGCCAGCTTGGCTCCCATATGCCTGAGCTAATCCACGAGCACAGATTCTCCTTTCTTGGTTTATGTAAGCACTAAGTCTTACACAAGCGACTCAAGTTTCCCACAGTCACAAAGTTTGACGACTTGTATAATGGTTGATTTTGACTGCTTGCTGAGCTGGATTCCTGATAAGATTGAGATCCTGAGGGCTCTGACCTAACCACCAAATTAATCCCTTGATGGATTCCTGGCTGATGGCATCGGAAGGGGGTGAAGGGTAGAGCATGGAGTCTCAGACCTCATGTACTACGTAAGGGATCGGAAACTGGCAGGCTGTGGTCTAGGGGCATCTCTAGGGAACCTTCAGGAGATGAAGCCTTGATGAAAAAAGTATGTCACTGGGGCATGGATTTTAGGCTTTATAAAGCCTTGTACCACTTCTTGTTCCCTCTGTTTCCTGTGTGTAGAGATGAAAGTGTGACTCCCCAGCTTCCTGGCCCTACTGCCATGTCTACCATGCCTGTTGCCATGATGCCCCTCTGGAACCAGGAACTAAAAGAAACCCTTTATTTCCTAAGTTTCTTTGTTAGGGCATTTTATCACAGCAACAGAAAAATACTAATATAATCCCATCTTTTGTAAACCATTTATAGAAATATCTGGCCAGTGTTATAAAAAGTGGCTAACACAGGTTCAGGGCCACTCTGAGCTACAAACCTGGGCTACTTACATACACCCTAACTCTAACCAAATACATACTCAAGGAGGAATGAAGACCAAAACCCAATGTTTCCTGAGTCAGCATTTACAAAAGACAGTACAAGACATCAGGAAACCAAATGAGTTGTTGGATGTCACGGTATAATTGGATTCACCTCCTGCATCTAGCGAGAGTCACACCTTAGTAATTTTCAATTTCTTGCTACCCCATTGTACAAGGCATCAGATCCTTACCTGGGTTTATCTCTCGGTAGCTACCTACACCGTATGCATCGACAATGTTCTGGAAGCCAGCTGTAAATTTATTGGTCCTATTGAAGGTGGGAGGGTCTGTTTTAGTTTCCACCTCTGTCATGATGGGGACCATGGAAGAGCCACTGAGTTCCTGCAGAAAGAAAAGGTGGCCAGTGCTTATGAACAAGGGCTGAGTGCTAGCACACAGTTCTGGACATGAACTAAGGCCGTTTTGTGACCTTCCTACTTATGAAAGGTGAATATGCCTCAGTATTTACCTAATATCTTTTACATGAGAGTATCAATAAGGCAGAGCTTATCCTGGTCCTCTGGCCATCCTCCCCCCAACAGAGACACAGACACAGACACACACACACACTCACACACACACACGTGCCCCTCAGCTAGGGTCTCTGCTCTTCCCCCTCTCCACCTTCTCCTTCAGAAGCTCAGTCACTTTGCTAATTCAGCCTTATCATTCAAATGCTGCCAGCCTTCTCCACATCTCACTCTTTCCTAACTGTCCAGTAGATTCTCCTGCCCCAGCAGCTCTAGAAAATCCAGCCGCCTACAACCGAATCTCCAGCACGTCCCAGCTAGGTCCTCCCGTGTCCCCAGCTTTTCCCAGAGTCTCCACTTTCCCAGATTCCTGTTCTGTAACCATCTCAGTCCCTTCTCCACTGGCCACAATGTTCCAGCTCAACATCTCTCCCTCCTGGCTCCTGGCTCCTATTCTCTGGCTTGCCACCCTAGTTTGGCCTCACTACCTCCTCCAGCCTCAGTCCTTCTGTTGATTCCTCTGCGCACCCAGTCTGCCCAGTCACGTCTGGAGTAAAACAAACCAAGGGCATTGTTCTTCGAAGACTTCCTACTGTCTAAGGAGTGGAGTCAGGACACCTTAGTCTTCCCGCCGAGGCCTCTTTACAAGGTTGACTTAATCCTCCATTGGCACCTTCACAATCCACTTCTGATGGAAATCAGGACTACAAAAGCTACCTCTCCATTTGCCCAAGTCTTCACAGTTCTCTGCACTCCATTCCACATCCCCATCAAAGGTGCCCTGAGCGGGACTCCACCAGCGAAAGGGGTCTTTACAAAGTTTAGGCTCAGTTTACACAGGGGTACCACAAGATAGACCTCAAGACAAAATCCCATTTTGGAAACAAGGAAAGTGAGGCACAGGGGGGTTAAGCAATGGTTCCAGGCCATAAAGCAGATAGAGGGAGTTCCCACTGTATTGTTAAGGAGGAATGGGAATCCTCTCCGTGGCAGCAAGGACTGAGGCCTTTGCTCCTTCCGGTACAAAGCCCACGGCAGCTGACACAGTGGCTGGCAGAGGCCCCAAGGGATTGTTGATGGTGATGACAGAATCCAACACCTGTTTCTGGCTATCTTCATACTTCCTTCTGCTTCCTACTCACACAAGGCCTTCCACTCCTGTGTGGGAAAGCCCTTGCGATATTTCCGGGGGCTGAAGAAACTGCTCTAGCCAGCCTTGTAAGAAGCGTAGCCTTCTTATGACACAGGATGACTACACTGAGACAGGTCTTGTCTCCCAAGGCTAGCCTTGAAATAACTAGTATTCAGGCATGACCTTGAACTTCAGATCCTTCTGCCTCTACCTTCTGAGTGGTGGGGTTATAGGCATGAGCTACCACTCCTCTTGTTACTTTGTTTTGTTTTTCCAGACAGGGTTTCTCTGTCTTTAGCCCTGGCCTTGAACTCAGAGATCCACCTACTTCTGCTTCCCAAGTGCTGGGATTACTAGCGTAGGCCACCACACCCAGCAGCTCTGCTGTATTCTGTGTTCAATTTTAACCCCAGTATTGTGGCACCACTTCTCTGGTGGCCCAACTCTTCCCAACCTGCAGTGAAAACGCTTCTAAAATACAGAATGGACCAGGCCACTCTGGCATAGACTAACATTGTGCCCGTTGGCCACCAACTGGCTCAGTAAATAAGGGTGCTTACCACCAAACCTGATGACCTGAGTTCAGTTCCTGGACTGGACATGGGGGAGGGAGCGAATCGACTCAGACAAGTTGTCCTTTGACCTCCACAGGCACGCACCCACACACTCACAAATTAACAAATGTTTTATTCCACCCCCCATATGGTTATGAGGGCCTCTCGGGATCTTTTTCCACTGCCATTCTGCCCCCCAAGTTGCCCATTCCCTGCTCATGAGTATTCTGCCACATGGTTCCTCCAGAAAGTAACCTGCTCTGTCCCATCTGAGGAAAATGCATGATTTTAAAATGCCTCTCGGTGTAGTTTGGGAATGCAGCTTGAGGTGACAAAAACTCCCCATGCACTGAGGCCCTGACTCTGATTTACTACTGTTCTCCATGCCTCAGTTTCCTTCAGCAGGAATATGGCAGCTCCCACCACACTGGCCATTTTTACAGCCCACTCAGCCTGGAAGCTTTACCTCACAGGATTTCCGGGTTACTCAGCAGCATCTGCTCTGATTGCCACCTGCTCAGGGGGGCCTGTATCCCCTCCGCCGTGAGTTCCCCTCCTCTTACCAGATGTAACACCTGCCTAGCCACGTGTCTGGCAGAAGTCTTCCCATGTGCCAGCTCGTTCCCTCTCAGTCAGACCAGCGCCCTCCACCCAATCCTCAACCCAATGCAGTTCACCCGATACCCCATGTAACAACCCAAGTGAGTGTACAACATTCTCCAGCAGGAACCAGTCGGTCCACCCCCTGATGCCACAGAGCGCACTCCCGCTCGTGGGTCACTCTGGTCTTGTGGGTCCACTCTGGCATCTTCCTGCCTGGGCTTGGGTGGTATTACTATAATTCTCAGCTATCCAGTAGCAAGTGTCAAGCCCTCAGGCACCTTCTGGGCTGGGGCTCACTCTCTTTCATCCATGAGGACAACAGGGGGTTAGAACCAGTTTCTCTCCCATGGCGTCCCTCGTTTTCCTCACCCACCATTCACAGCTGCCTGAGAGCACATTCGCAGGGCCATGTGCCTTGCCATATCTCTTTCTGGAAAGTCTGTTGGGCCAGGGCTGTGTCTACACAGGTGGCTCGGGATGCGCCGTGCCCTGTGAACATGCAGCAGAAGAACGAGAGGTTGGTAACTAAATGTCATGCGTGTGCTCAGTGCTGCGGCTGGCATGCTGGGCGACCTGTGCCTTGGCGCTCTTAGAACATGCATGGGCTTGCTTGTGTTTGTCTCCCTAGCCAGCCTGGGCCTCTGTACGGTGACAGGCAGCACCTGTGGCCATACTGTGATACCTATGACAACAGCTGGCAGAACGGCAGCACATGAGCACTCACCGTTTGCTCTTTGAAGATCAAAGGAACAGTGCCAGTTTTTTCAGTTGCTGGATAAAAAGAAGAAAGTTTCTCTTCTGTTCCTTTGTACTGAGTTAAAAACTAAAAAAAGGCATCTGGGGGCATAGCTCAGATGGTAGAGTGCTTGCCTGGCATGTCCTAAGCCTCCAGCCCTGTATAAATCAGGGGCAGTAATGCATGCCTGGAGTCAGAAGTTCAAGGTCATCCTCAGCTACACAGAGATTCTGAGACTAGTCAAAAACAAGTGAAATACTGTCTCAATTTTTTAAAAACTGTACTGAAGGTACAAGATGGAGACAATCCAACCACAAAGCCACTTAGGAAGTTCACAACCCCAGAGAGGACGAACAGGGGTTGAGGAGGCCGGATGTGACTTGCCGCCCATCCTCAGTAGCCCCACCACTCACCATGCCTTGCTCCAGGGCCTTCTTAATGTGCCTGGTGTCCGCTATGGGGAACCAGATCTCAGCGATGATGCACTGCTGGGTGACGTCAATGTTACACATGTTCAGGACATGGTAGACAGCCTTCATCTTCTGTACCTTGATGACCCACGAGTGCCAGTTGGCGGCTGCTTCCTGTAGCAGGCGCTGGCGGTGAGAGTCGGTTTGGGTAATGACCTAGACAAAAACAAAACCAGAAAAACAATGAACATTCGCGGGATATTTAACACAGTGGCAAAAGTAGGAGTTTATCTGCCATAGTGGCTGCCCCTGCCCTGGGAAGAGCATGTGATCAGGTTGTGTCCCCTCCTCAAGGTTGGAACCTAGGGAAAACACCATATTATTCTTTCCCTCTAAGATTTTCCTCGTGCTATTGCTCTGGGATGAACTGTGTGTCAAATTAAGATGAGGCCATACTGAATTAAGGTGACCCTCGCTCTAGAGAGCAAGGCACACAGCAAGCACACTGTCAGAACCATGGCAATGATGGCAATGGTGTACCCACTAGCCAAAGGCATCACTCTGCCAGTGGCCACCAGATGCTGGGTGAGATAGGAAGGTTCCTCCCCTCAGCCTCCGTAACAAGATCCCAGCCAGGCGGCACCTTGATTTTGGACCTCTGGCCTCCAGAAAGAACTGTGTGTATGAAGAGCAACACCTGTACTTGAACCTAGCCAAAGCAGACCAAAACAGTCCCCATAATAATCTCTCCATAAACACTAAGTGAGTTCATGAATGGGCAGTTTGGCACAGTTCATTTGATGAAATTAGATTTCATGTTTTGACAGATAAAATAGGGCTGTCTTTTTCAGGAACCTTTCATATGGCTATTGTGGCATACTATAAAAAACATAAGTGTAAGGCCTATACTCCAGGCAGTGGTGGCACACACCTTTAACCCCAGTGCTTGGGAGGCAGAGGGAGGTGGATCTCTGTGAGTTTGAGGCTAGCCTGGTCTATAGAGTTCCAGGATAGTCAGGGCTGTACAGAGAAACCTTGTCTTGAAAAACTAAAAATAATAATAGTACCTATAATTCACAGGCCTGCACATGTGGCCTGAAAGGTCACTTAAGGGTGTAATGTAACTCAGCTTGAGGATTACCAGGAAGCAAGACCACCTTGGCATGGATGAAACTCACAAACTTTACAGCAACAGTCACCCTAACAAGAACACAATGACCTCTCCAGGATAGAAATGCCTACAAGCCAGAGAGATGGCTCAGTGTGTAAGGTGCTGACCACCAAGCCTGCATTTGATTGTTTGATTCCCAGGACCTACGTGGTGGAAAGAACCCACTTTCACAAGTTGTCTTCTGACCTCCACATGCCGTAAAACCTGTGCCTATATGCACAAACACACACATACATACAAACATACAAATACAAATGAACACATACATACAAACATACATATGCACACACACAAACACACACAAATGTTTTGTTTTTGTTTTTGTTTTAAGAACCCTGCGCTAGGTAGGGCTGAATCCTAGCATATGAACTCTGAATGGGCTCCAGGAGAGGCTCTCCTGGCTACTAGTCACTTGAACCCATAACTACACATGCCTGCTGCCACAGTTTGTCTTACAAGATCACTGCCAGAAGGAGCTGCCAGATACTGGGCGGGGTCTCACATTCATCCTTGGCTGTGACTGAACAGAAGGAGAGAAGCTGGCCAATCAGAACTCGCCCAGATCCCTGACAACTGCCCAAGCCCCACTACGCATGAGCACGAGCACGGTCAGCCTTCTTTCTTCCCCACTCTCCTCATGAGGCATTCCTGAGGCCTACCACAGAGTATTTTCATGAAGGAAATCACCTGAGGGGAACCACTGCTGGGACAGTGGCTAAAAAGGAATAGAGAGAATTCAATAAATTAAACCCAGTTACTGTGGGATGGTAAAAGGGTCTGCCAGCCGAAGGCTTTAAACACGCTGTGCCAGGTGTGCTGACACACACTGTAAATGCAGCACTGGGGCTGAAGCAGGACGACTGACAGTTCAAGACAAGTCTGGATCGTGTAACAAGTAGCAGCCCAGCTAGGGCTACACGGCACGACCTGGTCTCAAAAACGGACAAAGAAAACCTAATTTCTAAACCCGCACACTGAGGATTTCCATCGTCCTGGCCTATCCAGTAGCCATGTGCAATTTCAAAATTTTAAATTCAATAAAAATCAAAAGAGTGGTCTGGGCCACTGACTCAGTCAATAAAGCACTTGCCTTGCAAACATGGCAACGTGAGTTCAATCCTAGAACCTGGGCACCGTGGTATATGCTAGTAATCCAAGGCTTGGAAGGTAGAGGCAGAGGAGCGGTGAGGCTTGCTGGCTAGTTAGCCCCCCTAACTGGCGAGCACTGGTAAAATCAGGGACCCTGTCTCAATGAAGGTGGATGGCACCCCTGAAGATGATATCTGAACTTGAAATCCTCCTCTGGCTTCTACAAATGTGCACATATACATATGTGTGCACAAAATTTACATAGCAATCAAAATTCTGTCCCTTGCTGTCACTAGCCATGTTTTATGATCTCAGCAGCCATAAGTATTTATGTGGCCCATAAATACAGCACTGGATAGAGTGGGCTGCAGAGCAATTCTGTGGTGAGGAAAGTTACAACGGAGAGCAAGGATACAGAATATATCACCAGATGGAGGCCCAGCAGACTTCAACGACCAGAGTGCTGTCATTTCCTAATCTCAGACTCACTCGGTGTCACTGGGGATGATGACAGACCTTTCACATGGAAAAACCAGACTCACTGTCTTCACAGTCATTAATTGGCATAGCCATTCAGTACAGACAAACTGGTTGCTCCTCCCAGTTGGTTGATGAGTTGGTTTCAGGCTCATCAGGCAAAGGCCGGCCATAAAGGGCTCCTTTCATCAGATCTGGGCAGCTGCTTGAAGGTAAACTAGGGCTGTGGTCCATTCTAAGCAGAGCAGCATGTGACAGACACTCAGAACTGTCAGCCCCAGCTCACTGAACCCTGCTTTCTAGTTGTGCAATCTGCTGCAGCTCCAACCAGAATTGCAAAAGAAACATTCCAGGAAGGGGCCTGGGGACAGGATTCATATGGAAAGGGCAGAGGCCCCATCAGCTCATGGCCTGAAGCCCTCACTCACAGTGATTAAGTCTTCCAGCCTCACGTTGACACTGGCCAGCATCTCTCTGCGCTCAGCTGCAGGTTCTGGGCAGGGATAGATGGTAGCACGGAACCTGTGTTTAACACATTCCAAAGGACATACATGAGTTATGACAGAAAAGCTTCTACATCCCCTTTCCTATGAGGCCATCCCTGTCTGACATGGCTGATGCGATCATTTGAAGATGATTCTCAGCGCCTCACGCCTATAACCCCAGCACTTAGAAGGCTGATCAGACGGAAGGAACACAAGCTCAGAGCTTCACACCTCCAGGGAAGGGTGCTTTCCTAGCATGACTGAGGTCCTGGGCTCAATCCCCAGGACAACATACACACACAAACATAGGTAAAATTGATTGTTCTACAGAAACAGCTGGGCCATGGTGATGACTTTCTCCCTTTCTAGTCACACATTTTCAGAACCAGTGAATCAAATCCAGGGCCTCTCACATGTCAGGCAAGGGCCCTTCCACCACACTACAGCAGCAAGGATAGCCAGAAACAGGTGTGTCTCCACTTTGCGTTACCTTGGTGACTGGCTAGTTACCTTCTCTGTGTTCATATGTTCACAACCACTGAAAGTCGGTTGTGTTCTCAGCATCGTTTTAAATGATCATCAGAAGGTTATTCTAAAATCCCAGTTAACCTCAGAGAGGGCCCAGTCATGTGCATGCTGCTCAGCATAGCTCTCTCAACTCCCATCTCCATGACAGAGAGTGACAAGTCTCTCACCCATCGCAGATCTTCTTGATTTTCAGCCTGAGCTGTTCTCCTTGATAAAATATGATGAATATATTCTTTTTAATTTCTTCTTTCTGGAATATCAGAAAAAAAAAATCATTTTCCTTTCTTCCTTTCTTTCCCAGTGTCGGGGATGGACGCCCTGTGTCCATCTCTACCACTGAGCTATACCTAGCAGAACATAAACTATAAAACCTGAAGACCCCAAAGCAACTGTTGCAGTGCTTGGTAATTGAGGAGGCCACAGCTGGGCTTCTGCTTCTGCTCTCACCCCCATAGGGAAGAGCAGGGCTCACTCCTAAGAAAATAGCGCCAAGAGAGGCTAGGATGTTCCAAGATTCAAAACAGCAGCAGCTAGCCAGGTTATCAGAAGCATTGTAAAACCTGTATGGTACAGATAATCTGTTTGATATTTAACAAAGGGAATGCTGTGACTAAGTTTTGACTCACACAGCTACTGACTAGGTGCCCTTAGGAACACCACTTAGGTGGGGCGTGGTGGCACACGCCTTTAATCCTAGCACTTGGGAGGAACTTAAGTTTTAGACCAGTCAGGGCTAAGTAAGACCCTGTCTCAAACAAAGGAACAAACAGACAAAACAAAACACAAAGCCACCGCTAAAACTATGTTTCAGAATAGGGTGTAGCTCCTCGGCTGAAAGCTTGCCTAGCTTGTGCAAAGCGCTGGGTTCAACCCTCAGCAGCGCTAAAACAAAAGTTATTTGGAAAGACCCAACTATGGACTGGAACAGTGCTGCCAGTCTGTTGTTGCTGTCTTTCATTTGAGGGGACAAGGGAAAAACTAAAAAACACGCTGTTGAAGGTTACAGCAATGAACTCATCACATAGCACTCAGGGCCCCAGTTAGGTGCCACCTCAGAGAGAAGCCAGTGCCAGGCCCAGGAAGTGTCATGAAATGTCACACACCCTTCAGATCGGCAAGCCTACCTTCTCTGGATCCTTAATGAACTAATTCATTAAGAAGTAAAAATCCACGTGCATTATCCAGGAGTAAGGATGAGGAAGAGGGTCTTGTGCTAAAGCCAGCCTTGGGATACACTGCTTCAAAACGATCAGCACCAAAAGGCTAGGAGGGTAAACGGAAACAAATGCCGAGAGGAACACCCTGAGGGTCACATCACTGAGTCTCCCTCACAGCAGCGTACACGTTTGCCTTGGCAGCTGCTCATAGGAACAGGTTAGGGGTGTTCCGGGATTTCTGGAAACACCTGCTTTACACCATTTCCAAACATCCTCCACCCATGGAGGCTTCTGGTCTTTTTTCTGAATCTTTGACATTATCTAGTCTCTAGATCTACCAGAATCAGGGATCCTGGCACCTGACTTCCTGGCACCTGCTGGGTGACCCTCTTTCTCCAGATAGTCCCTTTATAAATATGTTCTCCCACCATAACAACTACACACCAAAACTTAATTTTAAAGTGACACTTCAATATCACAATTTAAAATAATCATAGAAGCAGGGCATGGTGGCCCACGCCTATGATCTTAGTACTTGGGCACTACAGGCAGGAAGATTGGAGGTTCAAGGCCTGTCTCTGCTACATGGACAATTTGAAGCCAGTCTGAGGTGCATGAGACTCTATCAAAAAACATACACAGAGAGAGAGAGAATAAAGGATGCATAAGATGATTATGGGTAGAAATTTTCTTATCATTGTAAGTGAGAAAGAACAGAAAAATCATTTCCATATAAAATTATAACTGCACTCAGTAGGCAGAGGCAGGCAGATCTCTTGAGTTTGAGGCCTCCCTGGTCTACAGATTGAGTTCCAGACAGTCAGGGTTATACAGAGAAATACTGTCTTGAAAAGACAAAAAAATAAAATAAAATAAAATTATAACTGCCTTGGTTGGAGAAAAGCAATACAAGAAGGTAATTAAAATAAACTGGTGTACTAGAGTATATTTTGTACTTTTTATTTCTTTAACTGTTCTCAGGAGAGCATGAACACAGTCCCCCACTACCACAAAATATGTGGTTGAGTTTCTCACACTGGGGTTGGCACATCTCAGATGCAATGAATAAGCCCTATCCAAGGATAATCCTAGCATCTTCTCGCTGGATGAATATGGGTCTTTTTTTCTTCTTTTCTATTTTGTTTTAACTATGACTTTTCCTAATCAAATGAAACTTAAGATTAATGTTTTTAGCCTTTCGTCTGGAAGATTACAGACTTTTGGCTCCCTGAAGTGAAAGATCAAATGGACTTAAATATTAATTGAGAGGGTGGAGGAAGCAATTAGCTTATGGACTTAGCAGCAACCGGGTAGCCTTGAGGGACGCGCCTTCTCATCGGAAGCCTCTGGACTGTAGGCAGCAAGCATCTATCTAACCTCGCCAACATCATCTGGGAGGCTGTAAGAAGTGCAGGCCCTGGGGCTCCACCCCAGCCCAGATAGATCCCAGGTGACTTTTCAACTCGGGCACATTGAAGCTTGAGAAACAGACTCCAATCAGATTTGGCCTCACGTTGTTGAGGTCTGGTCCTTTTTTTTCAGGCCTAACAGCCACATCATCTCAGCTTGTTGCTGATATGGAGAAAGTGCGCTGTGCAAGGTCAGGCTGACCAAAAACTACATTTATGTTCCGCCTGCTCTGTGGCCTTGCTACTTTTAGAAACTCCCCAACCATAAGCATAGCTGGCCCTAACTATAAACTCCACTTGGGACCAATCAAATTAAATCTATCTAGCAAAAATAACTTGAATCAGAGGAAACTACCTGTCCTACTGTCGTCGACCCCCCTCCAACCTCCCGTGTGAGCTAATTGTGCTTTTTGCCTTTATAAGCTGTCTCTAAAGAATGTTGGTCGTCACAGTTTGGCTCCCAAGTCCACTGTGTCCCTGACCATCGTCAGTCTTGGGGTGTTGCATTCAATAAACCATCCATATGTAAATGAGATTGGTGTTTGAGTGGTTTGTGTGGCTTCTTCTGGACCCTAACAGCATGGTACTAGCATAATAAGTTTCTAGAAACAAGATACCTAAACCGCTGGAAAAATGAACCAATTATGATGTGTTAAGAAGAATTGGTCCTTGGATAGACCTTTCAAATGTACTAAATTTAAAAGGGATGGGGGGGAGAAATGAGCAGAAAGGAAAGGGAAAAGGAAAGAGAAAGAGAGGAAAGAGAGGAGGTGGGGAGGAGACAGATGCTAGCTGGTTATGAGAGGTGTTCAGTGCTGCGCTCCAGGAAGCTCACAGAGCCCTTCCTGCAGGCCTGAGCCGCCCACCGTCACTGGATCCTCCAGAAGTGTGTCCATTTCACTAAACTTCAAGTACACATTTCCCCGGCAAACTCTCCACAGCAGCCTCTCAAAGGAAGCCATCCTCTCCCTGTTGATCACACCAGCTGTGAACCTAGAGAGTAGGAAGAGGAGACATCAGTGAGGCCTGTGAGGAGAGATGATGGGAACTGCTCACAGAGAAACATACATCCTGGCTCCCCCTTGCCCACATATTGATGGATTGTCTGTTTTCTCTGAAATTCATATTATATATAATAGACCATTCCTATGGTGTCTATGACATTGTAGCCAATGTCAGTAAATGTTCAATGGTCTCCACAAAAAAAAATTTTTAAGCATCATATTAAGAAACACACATTAGGCCAAGCACAGTGGCACACACCTGTAATCCCAGCACTCTGGGAGGCAAAGACAAGTAGGTCTCTGTGATTTTGAAACTAGCCTAGTCTACAAAGTGAGTCCAGGACAGCTAAAGCTACACAGAGAAACCGTGTCTTGAAAATCCAAAAAGATAAAAAAGAAAGAAAATAAAAAAGAGACATACATTCGTGTCCAGGTATCCTGGTACTTAAATAACCGCTAGCCTAAACTTCTAACAGTGCCATCAGACTGTACTTTTTCAATGGTTTATTGCTTTAGATGACATTAGCCTTGCATTACCTTCAGGTAATATGTTTATATAAACATTATCTTTTTTCAATTTCAAATTATGGGTTTTTTAAATAATTTATTTAATTTTATTTTGTGTGCATCGGTGTGAGGTGTCAAATCCATTGAACTGGAGTTACAGGCAACTATGAGCTGTCTGTAGGTGCTGGGAATTGAACCCTGGTCCTCTGGAAAAGCAGACAGTGCTCTTAAGCACTGAGCCATCCTCCAGCCCCTCAAATTATGTTTTTTTGAAACAGGGTTTCTCTATATATCCCTGGCTGTCCTGGAGCTCACTATGTAGACCAGGCTGCTCTTGAACTCGTAGAGACCCACCTGCCAATGCCTCCAGAGTGTGTGACTAAACGTATGTGCTACCACATCCAGCTCCCTTTCAAATTTCAATAGGCTGTCAAATATGTACTGAATAAAAAATTAGGGACCTCCAACCACAATGTTCATAGTATTTTAAACTTCACCAACCTCACATAAACACTGAAAACAATCCCAGGTTGAATTGCCAAATATTTTCATGAGTATCACATGTCATATTAGTATCATTTATTTAGGATTGATTTGCCTGCCCAATTCTGTCATTTCTAATGTCATTTGAAAACTCCAAATGTATTTTATCAAACATAAGGGAAAAATAAACATATCTACCTCCAAAGCTAGGGAAGGATCACATGTAAACAGTGAGCCCACATCTACCCCTCCTGGGACCCGTATACACGTGTACTCCCCTAAGCTGAAGACATGACTATAATCATGAACAAGGATCTCTCTCTCCCTCACCTCACCAGCCTCATAGATTACTCCCAGGTCTATCTCTTCGTAGCAGTCTTGTATTCCCTCACAGGGTGCTTCACACCCAGGAGTTCTTCATTACTGACTCATCAGTCGGGGAGACTGATCACACACCAGGCATCAGTCAGAGGCCCAGGCACCTACCCACACCCAGCTCTTAGGCATGAAGCCATACTCACCCCAACTTTCCAGCCATGAATGCAGGTATGGTTCTTAACTCCAAGAGACCTGAAGTGTCTTCAACAAAGAAATCTTCAGCTAAGTTGGCTTCTGTCTGAAAGACAAAACACCAACCCAGTCATGGAACACAGGGTAACTTAGAAGACCCCAGACCTCAAGGTTTGCCCTGTTTCTAAGAAGCTTTAATATCCCAAAATGTCAACAGAAGTGAACAAGCAGAGAGTTTTTGTCAGGACAGTCCCACCCCCAACCTTCCCACCCCAAACCAAAGTCTGCTCAAACCCTGTCCTCCCTTGTTCTGATTCTCCATCTCTTAGGCCATGCTTCTGTTTTCTTAATTGAGACAGGGTCTCAACTATATCAACCTGGCTGACCTGGAACTTGACCTATAGACCAGGCCTGCCTCTGCCTCCCAAGTGCTGGGATTGAAGGTGTGCACCACTACAACCAGCCATAACATTTTTACATTCAGTTGAACCAGGATCAGTGCTACTCCACAGGAAATAACACTCCTCTTCACTGATAGCCTGGCCATGGAACAAGAAACAAAGTGTTTCATTCTTTCTCCAGACCAGCTAGTTTTCAAAACAGGAACCTGGGACTCTGAGGAAAGGGCCCTTTATTAACTCTTCCCCAAGAAAACACCTCAAAAAAGTCCTGGGTTTTTTTTAGGAGGTATTTGAGTTCTGTCAGTTCCAAAAAGCTCTTCTTCAAAGCCTGTTGGTTCTGGTTGGCTTCCTGTAACTCTCCTTCCAATTTCTCCAGAGTGGTCTGTGCAAGGGAGAAAAAAAAAAAAATAAGCCAGGTAAAAAGGGCTACAACATTTCTTCTCTGCATTAACCACAATCAATAACTAGAAATCAAAGAGGCAGCCCCGGTGTCAAAACAGCTGTAGCTGAGCAGTCTTCAGCTACAAGTTAAGTTTTCTTGTCGAATGCAATGAAAGCCAGATGACCACTGCCCAGGCTGTCATCCAATGGGAGGATGCTAAAACTCGGAGTGGTGCGAGACAGATCATGTGTCTTCCCCCTTTTTTGTTTTTGTTTTTGTTGTGTTTTGGTGTTTGTTTGTTTGTTTGTTTGTTTTGAGAAAGGGTTTCTCTGGGTATCAAGACCTGGCTGTCCTGGACTTGCTTTGTAGACCTTGAACTCACAGAGATCTGCTTGCCTCTGTCTTTCAAGTGTTGGGATTAAAGGCTTGTGCTGCCAGAACTGGCTCGCCGCAACCCCAACATTTAAGCCCCTGAGAGGAAGTAATTTTACACAGTGGGAATTCACTCTGCCCTAGACACACTGTAATGATGGTTAAAATGCAAAAGTGAGTGTCTTCTCCTGCAACCACTCCCCTGACCCACACACCAGTTGTACCTGGGTCTGAAGAGCCAAACACAAACAAGAGAAAAGAGCTACAGAGAACAGTGTGGAAAAAAAAGGAAAAAGAAAGAACCAACCCAAAAATACAATTTCTTTTCTCAAATGAACGCAATCGCACACACACACACACACACACGAATAAGGTTTATGATGAAACCTGATGAGAAAACTCACCAGCAAATCAGGACACAAAAATCACGTGGAGTTAAATCACCTTCTGCAGAATAGTCTGGAAAAACAACTTTTGTTTTAGAATGTTCAAAGAGATAACGGACGGTGCTGCTTCCACTGACAAAGAAACGGTTAAACAGCAATTTCCTAAAACCAGAAAGCAGGTAGGGGGCCGGCAAGATGGCTCAGTAGGTAAAGGTGCTTGCTGCAGAGCCTGATGACCCCAATTCCATCCCTGGGGCTCCTACGGTGAAAGGAGAGAGCCAGCTCCCGAGAGTTGTCCTGACTTCTACATGCACATCGCAGCATGTGCGCATTCGCACGCATACACGCTCACACGGACACACAAATCAACGTAATAATTCTGAAAGTCAGTTAGACATAAAAAGAGAATCTAGTATATATTCCAGACACAGTTTGTAAATGCAATATTGAAATTTAACAGCTGGGTATGATGTCTCACACCCTTAATCCCAGTCCTCAAGAAGCAGAGGCACAGAGAGCTCTGAGAGTTCGAGGCCAGCCTGGTCTACATAGTGAGTTCCAGGACAGCCAGGGCTATGTAATAGAGAGGCCCTGTCTCAAAACAAACCAACAAATGAAGCAAATAATGTAAACACCTGGGAAGTCACTTATCTAAAGAGACCTTTTAAAATGCAATAGACAGGGCTGGAAAGTTGTCTTAGCAGTTAAAGGCCTTACTGCTCTTGCAGCAAACCAGATTTCAATTCCAAACACCCACATGAAGGCTCACATCTGTCTAACAACCATCTGTAACGCCATCCCAGGAGACCTGATGCCCTCTTCTGACCTCTGTGGGCACTCACATACATACTCAGACACATGCAGGCAAAACACTCACACATATAAAAAATAAATAAATAAATTTTTGTTTGTTTTTTTAGTTTTTCGAGACAGGATTTGTCTGTGTAGCCTTGGCTGTCCTGGACTCACTTTGTAAACCAGGTTGGCCTTGACCTCACAGAGATCCACCTGCCTTTGCCTCCTGAGTGCTGGGATTACAGGTGTGCACTATTGCGCCCAGCAGAAAATAATTTTAATTAAATGGAGAAAGCATATTATATGTAACAAAAACACTGCAACCATAGAAATGAACCGACTCCAGAAACATGAGACAATATGGAATATAAAATCCCAGAAATAAGAAGTGGGGGCTGGTGAGGTGACTCAGTGGTCAAGCGCACTGACTGCTTTTCTGGAGGACAGGAGTTCTAATCCCAGCACCCACATGGTGATTAACAACTGTCCGGAACCCCAGTTCCATGGGGTCCAACACCCTTTTCTGAGCTCCCCCGGCACCAAGCGTGCACACGGTACTCAAACATACATGCAGACAAAACACCCGTACACATAAAAAAAAAAAAAATTAACAAGAAAAAAAAGTTACAGAAGAAAAACAATATAGTCAACCAAGTTAAAATTTAAAACACAGAATACTAAGGTGTGTGTGTGTGTGTGTGTGTGTGTGTGTGTGTGTGTACCAGGGATCAGCCTTGAGTGTTATTCCTCGGAAGCCACCACCTTGTTTGTTGTTTTGTTTTTTAGACGGGGTCTCTCCATGGCCTCCAGAATCCACCTGACTCTGATTCCTCGATGTTGGGATTACAAACATATACCACCATGTAGCTTATTTTTTTTTAATCTTTAATTAATCTTTAATTGTGGGGAATCGAACTCCGGCCCTTATTTGTGCAACAAGCACCTTACCTATTGAGCTATCTCTGCCACCAGCAACCAATGGGGGGGGGGGGGGTGTAAAGCAAAGAGCAGAGGCAGGCGCCACACCAGGGTAAACAGATTGATACCACCTATGTTCAAAGCGCAGCGTCTCTGCAATCTGAGACTTGGAAGGTGAGGGCAGGAAGATCTAGAGCCCCAGGTCACCTTCTGCTATGTGGACAAGTTTGGGTTCGGCCTATGAGACTCCAATCTCAGAAACATAACAAACCACAAACAAATAAAATAGTCATTCCAAACATTTTTAATCTATCCAAGGGACAGGCTTACCAAAGAGAGATTTAAAAGTAAACAATAAGAAAGTATATCCAGGGGCTGGAGAGAAGGCTCAGTGGTTAACAGGACTTGCTGCTCTTACAGAGGACCTGAGTTCAGTCCCCAGGACCCACATGGTAATTCACAACCATCCATAACTCCAGTTCCAAGTGATCCAAAGCCCTCTTTGTCTTCCTCAGGCACCAAACACACACATGGTGCACATACATACATGCAGGCAAGTATTCACATGTATAAGATAAAGACAATAAAATAAAATAGAAAGAAGACTACCCAGGCCAATGTTACCTTCACCTTTGCCCCCGAAACAAGTTTACAGTGTCAGACAAAACTGCATATTTTACATTTTGCATGGTGAGACTTAGAATTCCTGCCAGCTGAGGATTTTACAGAACAGTCAGTAAAACCAGTCAGTGCACAGTGAGTCCAGCTGGAGGAGCTTTTTTGTTTTGCTTTGGTTTGGTTTTAAGCTACAGAGAGCCAGTTCACACACTTTTTTTTTTGTGCCAGGCACATAACTAGAGGACCTCCTATTCCACCCATATTGGCCTGTTCAGCCTGTCCTGTGGCACCACACAAATAACACTTCGCTGCCTTCGAGAAACTTCTGTGCACGAGAGAAATCATAGTGCGGTGAGCTTTGCTGAGAAAGGAAAGCAGCTCCCAGCTAACTGGAAGGAGGCCCTCCAGTTGCTCCTGAGACTTTCTTAGGATAGTGTCTTAGTTGCGGTTTCTATTGCTATGATGAAACACCAGGGCCAAAGGCAACCTGCAGCGGAAAGGGTTTATTCCACCTTCCCATTCCACATCACCATCCATCACTGAGGAAAGTCAGGACAGGAACTCCCACACGGTGGGAAGCTGGAGGCAGGAGCTGATGCACAGGCCACGAAGGAACAGTGCTTCCTGGCTTGCTCCTCATGGCTTACTCCACCTCTTTTTCTTATAGAACCCAGGACTGTCAGGCCAGCAATGGCTCCACACATAAAGGGTTGATTAAGAAGATGCCCTACAGGCTTTCCTACATCCCAGTCTTAGGAAGACACTTTTCTCAGCCCACGCTTCCTCCATTCAGAGGGTTCTAGCCTATGTCAAGTTGGTGGGAAACCAGCTAGTACAGGCACAAAGTGACCCCAAAAAGGAGCTCTCACCTACTTGTTCACCTGGGAAGGACCTGGGAATCACTCGACCATCCTCAGCTGGGGAGATGGTAGAGTGAGGCTCTTACCTCCAGGGTGATCATTTCCCGGGGGAGAGGAGTCTCCGGATTCTTCTCAGGCTCCTGCATTAGAATCTCATTTTGCATCTCATCTTCCAGAAAACCTAAAGGAGAGCATAGGTGATCATGATCTACCAGAACTAAGAAGTGGGGAGTCCAGTAGAACAGGTGCCCTCACCAACTCAGCTACCTGGGCTGTCTCAGCTCCTGCCCAGTAGCCAGGTCCACCCTCCAACCTCCTGTACCCTCTGCCTTGAGGATTACTTCAGAAAGCAATGCACATGGCAGAGTCATGCCAAGTAAGTGTGGTAGTTAAGCTCTACAAACTAGTTACCATTTTTGGTTCGCATTTAGGCAGAAGAGAGAAGGTGGCTTACGGAGGATTCTCTCCAGCGACTCGCACCTCCGGACTTCATTCACAAACTTCCTCTGGAAGGTGTTCACATTTGCATTTAGCTGCAGGGAAGGAGAACCACGGGCTTGCATGAGAGATGCTGCCAGGGCCTTTCCTTCATCCATTGTGTTACCTTCTTGGTGCGGGGGAGGGGCTGTTGCTAGGAGTGTGTTTGGAATAGATGTGTCTGTGCACAAGACACAGGAGTTACAGGCTAGCTGTGCTGTCCAGTTCTACGCTCCTCCTCGGGGTCAGGGATCTAAAGGGACCTTTAATACTACACAGGTCTGCCTAGGGCATACCGGTCATCAACAAGAATTCAACCTTTGCTGTGGGCAACCCTCAGCTCAGCCTGAGATGGGTCTAGAGATGGGTCTAGAGATGGCTCAGTGGCTGACAGCACTCCTTCTTTCAGCTAGGTTCCCAGCAGCCAAGTCAGGCAGCTCACAACCACATGTAACTCCAGCTCCAGCAGATCCGATGCCTCTAGCCTCCTGAGCACCTGCATTCATGAATGCATACTCACAAGCAGACACACACACCTACACGTGATAAAAACAAAAGCTTTTTAAAAAAAAAGAGGACTGGCCTCTTGCCAGGTGCTATGCTAACAACTATCGATGCAAGTGACAAGATACAGGCCTCCCAGAGGGTTGCTGAGGTTTGACTTTGACCTGGTGAGGAAATAAAGGACTGGTTTTCTAAACTGGGCTCCGTAAAGACTTGGCAAGGATATAAATGGCCTATGAGAAGCAACGCTCCACACAGCCCATCCCTAGAGTGTCACTACTGGAACTCATCATCTTGAAAACTGCCGGCTCCAGGAAGTGTTGGTCTGACGGTCAGGGAAAACAGACTGTGTTCATCTTGAAAACTGGTAATCCATGTGCTCACTGCTCAGATCTAGTATCTGGAGAGGCTGTGCAAGAATTGAAACACAGCTGCGTCTAACATCCAGCGCTCGCACTAACATGCTTCAAAACATTCCTAGAGAAGAGACGGGAGCAGGAGCCAAGCCCAGAGCGACCTGCTGAGGGTCATCAGAAAGCTCAGCCATGGAATTCTTCCCAGCCCAGCTCCTCTTGCTGGAGAATGTGTTTCGTTGATTAGCAAGAAGTATTGTGCAAGGGCTATCTACCATCACCCCCACCTCTTATCTCCAAAGAATGCAGCACCTACGTCTTTGAATTGAACCAAGCCAAGCTCTCCCAGCTCGGCTACACAGCAATATGCGGCCTCCACCTGGAGAAACACTTGGGATAGACACATCTCCTCGCTTCGAAACACAGATGCCATGTTGGCCCAGCCTTAGTCTGGAGGGGAAAAGAGAAAGAGGAGATTGGGGTAATAGATACATGAAAATCTTAATGTGATTTCTTTCAGTTAGAGTTCTTTAACAAGCCGGGCAGGAGTGTAGTTCGGTGATAAGAGTACTCACATAGAAGGTACGGAATCCTAGTTCAAGCCCCAGTGCCCACTCTATCACAGAGAGACAGACAGACAGATGAGACAAATAAAACTTTAACAAACCCAGGTAACCCTAAACTGACGCCATGGCAGGAAAAAGTGACCCTCCCCCCATCTCTAACCTTACCTGCTAGGTCACAACTACCACACATGTGCTGGGGGCAGGGGGGAGTGTTAAATTTCCCTCCAGCTATGTTGTGTCTATAATGTATAAGTTTTGCGTGTAGACTTGGGTCCCATCCCCAAGATAGTGTTGGGAATGTGTATTTATGGCAAATACAAACATCTAAAAGTTCTGGCGCCAAGCATTTCAGATAAGGGACACTTGAGCTGCGTGCTAAGACATCCAGGGCTGTGGTGGAAGCAACTCTCAAAGCTTCACCGTGAAGCAGAGAAAGCGACTAAGGCCCTGGCTCTCCAAGCTGCTTCCCCCACCAAACACAGGAGGCGTTTTCCCGACGCTCAGGGCCAATGCATTCCAAAGCATGGAGTGTGATGTTTGTGACTCAGTATTTCCCCACCTCCAAATGTGGATCATGGGCCTGAGAGATTGTTCAGGGGAGAAAGGTGCTTGCCAGCTGGCCTGTTTGAACTGAATTCAATCCCAGGAATCATAACAGAGAGGGAGGAATCATGCGCCAGGTATGGTGGCACATGCCTTTAATCTCAGCACTAGGGAGGTAGAGGCAGGTGGATCTCTGAGTTCGAGACCAGCCTGATCTACAGAGCTAGTGGTACCCAAAGAACCCTTGTCTCAGAAAATAAAAACCAACAAAATACTTACACACACACATACAGAGAAAGAAAGAACAGACTTGAAAAGGAGTTCAATGAGCCTCAAAGTTTTCACCAAGAAACACATCAAGCTAAGAGGCTGGGCATCTAGGGCATTCAGACCCAGGTGGACCTCCACCCTCATGCAGGCAGAACTGCCTTTCCTGTCCCCACCTGCCTCATTGCCTGGAAGTGTGGGTGTGGTAGACCACCAGCTCATCTTACTCCCAGGGCCCAAGTCATGGTGGACAAGATTTGTAGGTAGGCTATCTACCTAAGGTTTGTAGGTTCAGGACTCCAGGCTTAAGATCCTCAGTCTCCTCTTCCCCCTGGCTGGCACACAGCCCTCCATATTGTTGTTTCTATCTGACTCCTGGGGCCTGTAGCCCCAGATGCCTTTTTGACGTCACTGAAGAGCTTTGGACTCAACTCCAGATCCTGGGGGATCAGGAACCCTCTACTTCACGGCTTGCCAGGCCTTGTCCCTTCACCTGGTTGTATCCATGAGGGGCCACCCTCCTTCCCCAACTCTCTTCCTCCTGGACTCCACGTCCAGGCTTCCCAGGCTGAACCTTACAGGCCTGGAGAATCTAGGGGACTGTACCTGTGCCAAACATTACCCCCTCACCAGCAATTCCAGCCTTTCCTATCTGTGTACCCCTTTCCTGACTGTGTACCCCATTCCCAACCCCTTCCCTAGAATTCTTCTCCCGGACTTTTGGGCTCCAGGCACAGATACACCACACATTCGTGAAAACAAAATAGCCACGGGGCCCAGGGCACTGTTTTTCTTCAGTATCACTGTTGGAACAGAGGGTGAGAGAGCACTGTCCTGGGTCAGGAAGAAGGGCCAAATGCTTCACAATGATTAACTGAAGCCCACGTGAGCACAAAATGGGGAGGCCGGCCTGTCTACTCCAGACTGGTTTCCCACAGGAGCCCCCCTAGAGGGTCCCCACTCCTCTCCACCTTTTCCTTCAAGTCAACCTGGAAACCCCATCCTCCAGCATGGATTTCACTTCCTAACAGTCAGCAGACCCATAACCTGCCCGACCCTGGGCCTGCCGCCCCAACAGGATAAAGTCCAAAGCTTGTGAGCAGGCTGAGAAAAAGATGTGGCCTCTGTCTTCTCTGCCTCATCCGTCTTCGCTCCCCTCTCCAGACATCTGTATCTTTCTCATGCTGCCCAGCTGAGTCTGGGATCTCAGTCTTTCCTCTTCAGTGTCCCACACAATCCTGTCATCCCTCCATTCTTGCAGTGAGCCTTCCTGGCTATCCTGCCTCCTGTCTGCTGCCAGACTGTCAGTCAATGACTTGTTTAACACATACCCTCTGTCTCCACTAGCCAGCAAAACCCGGAGGCCGACCTCCCAGTGATCATCATTCTAGCAGAGAGCAAGCTCAATATTAATCAATGTAATTGTCAAAAATTATTTCCTGACTCATTTCTTTCCTTATTCACTCCTCCACACATACCACCCACTGCCCCGAAGTCCACCAACTGGACCTACACTTTGCCTTTGGGTACCAAAATGAATAAAACAGTTTTTTGGTTTTTGTTTTGTTTTGTTTTTTGTTTTTTACTGTTCTAATAAAAGAGGTAAATTGGTCACAGAACCATACGGCATTAGTTTCATGCAGACCAAAAAGCACAATGCAAAGACCTTTCTCACCTGAGTTTCCCTGGAGTTGGTTCTGGATGGGAAACAAACTGCCCAATTCCTGGGAGTTCCCAGCCGCAGCAGCAACAGGTGGCCACAGTCAGTTGTGGCTTTCAAGTGGGCCAGGGCCGGGTGGCAGGGAGACGCGCTGCCTTTCTCCCCCTACACACTGTCCCAACTCCCTCTCCAGAGGCCACTCTGTTGTATCAACACATCCCGCAGTGGGTGAGCTCAAACCTGCCACACCGGCCAGCCCTGCTCCACCCCAACCCCACCTGGGCCCCGCCCTCGCGTCGACCTTGAAGTCCCCACTGCCCGGCGAGAACGCAGTTCTCTAAGGGGGTAACTTGCCCCTCAGGGAGCTGAGATTGGGGATAAGGTTCCCAGGGGCCTTAGGACAGAACAGACAGCAGTCTAGTTCAGCTCCTCCACAAATCAAAACACTGCTTCAGTCTCAAGAAGGAGGCTGGGCGTGGCTTTCTGGTAGAGCACTTGCCTAACACGTAGGAGGCCCTGGGTTTGATCCCAGAGCACTGCACAAAACAGTAAGAATGAAATGACATTAAGAAGCAGTTTTGGAAGCAAGCACAGTATCTGATTCACCACCTCCTAACTGCTTTTCCGGACAGTTTTCGAAGGTGAAGAGACAGAAGGATCCTTAGAAAACCCCAGCATCTGATGCCCAGCTTCCTGAGCTCTATTTATCTTGCAGAGTGACTGGAGGAACAGAGCAAGCAGTCGGAGATTTCCCTGGGTTAGAGGGTTCCTCGGCATCAGCCCTGTGCCAGCCTTGACATGAATAACCTTCCCAGAACAGCTTTTCCACGTGGCTGCGTACCAATCTCCTTTGTAAAAATGTACCTGCCAGGTCCTCAAACGAGGGGGTTTTTAGCTTGGGAGCTTTTTTATTTTTATTTTTTCCATTTTGTGGTGTGTGTGTGGCAGGGGGTGCATTTTGTTTGAGACAGGGTCTCATGTAGCCCAGGCTGGTCTTGAACTCACTGTGTGGGAGAACTTCTGATCCTCCTGCCCCAACCTGTGCTGGGATTACAGGCAAGTGACAGCACCCCTGGTTTATGCGGAGCTGGGTTGAACCCAGGGCTTCATGAACACTAGGCAGGCACTCTCCTAACTGAGCTACACCCCAGCTCTTGTTTTTCACTGTTTCTTTTGGAAAACATTTAAATTTCTGTCAGAGTAGAAAGACAAGTTAGTACAAGGACCTCCCAGATATGTCATTCATCTTTAACAACCTGAATTATGTGTCCTCTACACCCCACTCTCCTCCAATTATTAATACTTTGAAGTTAATGCCATAGATAATAGCATTTCTTAAAAAAATAAAATAAAAAACAAAAACAAACTATCAACATGCTATTTATCCTAAAAGGTAAGGATTCTTTTATAGACAGAAACACACACACACAAAGCTATGATCTGTGCTGGTTTTAACTGTCAAGTTGACATAACCTAGAAATACCTGGGAAGCGAGTTAATGATAAATTATTTAGACCAGCTTAGGCTGTGAGCATGTCTGGAGGGTGTCTTATGGATGTAGGGAGATCTAGCCCATTATGGGAGCGTCATCCCCTAGGCAGAGAATCTTAAACTATGTAAGACATAAAAACGCGAGATGAGAGCAAGAAAGGATGCATTTATTCTCTTTTTGCTCTTGACTGTGGATGTGATGTGGCTAGCTGCTTGGGTTCTTGCCCTGACTTCCCCAAAATGATAAACAGAAATTTGGAAGTGCAAGCACTTCCTCTATGTTGCTTTTGTGAGTGTTTTGGTTTTGTTTTGTCTTCACAGCAACAGAAATGAAACCAATAACGTGTCTGAAACTTGGATATTTAGTAAGCCAATGAATCCCATGATTACCATGCACAGCCCAATTATCTCCATGACAAATGGAACAGTGTGTGAACAGCTTGGGAAATCTGAGAAGATGCTGTTATTTATTTATCTATCTATCTATCTATCTATCTATCTATTTATTTATTTAGGTGTTTTGTTTTGTTTTGTTTTGTTTTGTTTTGTTTTGAGACAGGGTTTTTCTGTGTAACATCCCTGGCTGTCCTGGAACTCACTCTGTAGATCAGGCTGGTGTCACACTCACAGAGATTTGCCTGCCTCTGCCTACCCAGTGCTGGGATTAATGGTGTGCACACCACACCTGGCTAGATGCTGTGGTTTCGATTGGGACAGTGGAAGGACCAAGCAGCCTCTTCTGAGACCTGGCAGAAAATGGACACTGGGCTTTGAACCTGACCAAACCTTCTGCAGTGGTTTGGATGAGAATGCCCCACATAGGCTTGTATATTTGAATACTTGGTTTCCACTTGGTGGAACTGTCTGGGAAGGATTAGGAGGTGTGGCCTTGTTGGAAGAGGTGTGTCACTGGAGGTGGGCTT